AAAAAAAAAAGAAAACTGATTATATCTTTCTTTGACAATTCTTTTAAGTCGAGATAATGAATTTCAGAGGCTTAGAAATGTATAATCTGAATTTGGATTTTGAACTTGAGACATTGAAATTGAAAGAAAGATAGAATTGAAATTGTATATTTACTTCAGAGAATTTTCTTCATCATAAAATTGTTTTACGTAGTCAATTTTCATGTATGGTAAAGTCTTAAGTATTCACAAAACATCAGATACTTTCCTACAATTGCTGCCCTTTGGAGAATGTTTAATGTTCCACTGCTTCAATATTCATGAAATGCAGTCTGCAAATCCATTTTTTTTTCCTAATATTTTTTTTTAATTTGAAAAGGTCAAAGAAAATATATAAATAAATCATTAAATAATAGATAATAAAAAAATGATAATAATAATGAAATAAAAAGATGATCCAAAATTTTGATTTTAGGACCTTAAAGCTGAGCCTCCAGAGCCCCCAACAGAACCCCCAAGAAGTAATGGCCATCCCATTGCAGACCCAGCAGAGCCCCAAAGGATGCCAGTTAAGCAACTTGAGAAAATAGGTTTGCTGATATTTTAATAATAATAATAATAATAAGTAATAAAATGGTCAAATGAAAAATCCATTAAAGTTTGTTAGGAACTCTTGATCTTGAATTGTAATTGTAAAAACCTGAATTTCGTAAGCATTTAATATTTATTCATGCTGTGGTTAAGTCACAAGGCTAGTTTCAAAATGATGCAGGCAATTTGCTTCAGACCTAAATAATATTGTTCATGAAAATATGAGTTACCCAAAAAAGAGATGTAACTTTGTAAAGCTTTTTATCACAAACTTTTTTTCAGCAGAAGATACTTCTGTAATAGCTGACAGAGAGACAAATGCGCCTCTAACACAAGTCGACATGGTCCCTACACCAACAGGTAGCAACTTAATACAACAGAGTACATCTATGGTTGTGAGCCAAGTCTCTACCACAGACAATAATGTGTCAAAGCCATTAAAACTAATGGTACCAGAGCCACAGCCCATTAAAGAGATGGTCCTTCACAGCCCCCCTCCTGACTTCCAAAACTCCGTCGGATTGCAGGCAAAGAAAGTGGACCATACCCATGCTTCCATACTCATCAAAAGCCCAACAAGTACCAGTACAATGAAAAAGGTTGATTTTGCTCTCATTGAGAGCAGCACAAATGGTGACAAACAGGAGGCAGCAAATTGCTCTAAGACGGAAGTGGAGAAAAGCACCTCTGCTTCTGTAGCTGCTATACCAGGTGGTATTTCTGTGACAGGTGGGTAGGATTCAGTAATTATATTTCTATTGAAAAAGTTTATATTGTTGCCTAGACAATTTACATATTAACTTATTCAAACAAAAAATGGTATATTAAGTGACCGCAAAATTCTTATGTGTCAGGAATGTTGCATAGAGCAGATTGCAGATTAAATTTTTGAATTCTTGTCCACTATTGCCATTTCTAGCGTGTTTTTGAGTTTTATTTCAGTGGGTTTGCCCATCTTTCTTAATAATCTAAGCTCTCCATGATATCTTATGAAAATGAATCACAAATATTTGTTTTTACTGTTCAAGCCTTGGAATTATTTATAACAAAACTCCTGACTTACAAGAAAATAAAAGATTTTTAAAGCTTTGAATCACAAACTCTTTGCGATATTCTGTTTCCAGATCTTCCCAGCATCCCAGTGGAGTACGAGGAACCAGAGTTTATTTGGGAGGAGTACCTGGAGGACACGGGGGCGTCGCCCGCACCTCCCACCGCCTTCAAACATGTAAGTCTACTCAGAGCAATTATTGTTATGGAAAAAGGACGGAATACTGCAGAAGAAATTAGAATAGTTGCAGTAAATACATCATAGAGAAATGAATGTATGTTTTGGAAATCTAAGTTTGCACCATGAAAAGATATAGAAAAATATAAAAAGGCACTACACTACTTAGTGCTACTTATTCTTTCACATTGCTGAATTACTTCCAATGAGGAGGCATGAATGTTCACTGTTACTTAGGGTGTTAAATATGAAAATCTGTTCTTCGCAAATTTTAATTGGGCTCTATCCAAAGATTATGAGGAAAAAAATAAATGATTGAAAAGTATTCTCAGGCAATGCTCTTTATTCATTAAAAAAGTTTGCTTTTATTTATAAATGATTAAGTTTGCTTGATATTGATTAATAAATTGGTTAAACTCTCCAGGTTGAGTGCAGTCTACAAAGTGGTTTCACCAAAGGCATGAAGCTGGAAGTGGCCAACAAATGTAACAGTAACACGTACTGGGTGGCGTCCGTGGTCATGACGTGTGGTCCTCTGCTCAGGCTCCGGTACGACGGATACGACGAGGACAGTTCTGCCGACTTCTGGGCCGATGTGTTTACATCTGATATACACCCCATTGGCTGGTGTGCACAGAATTCCAAGAGTTTGCAGCCCCCTGAAGGTGAGGTGATGTGTTTTGGCTTGATTTTATTTATTTATTAATTGATTTATTTATTTAAAAACTATCANTTTTTTCCTAATATTTTTTTTTAATTTGAAAAGGTCAAAGAAAATATATAAATAAATCAGTAAATAATAGATAATAAATAAAATGATAATAATAATGAAATAAAAAGATGATCCAAAATTTTGATTTTAGGACCTTAAAGCTGAGCCTCCAGAGCCCCCAACAGAACCCCCAAGAAGTAATGGCCATCCCATTGCAGACCCAGCAGAGCCCCAAAGGATGCCAGTTAAGCAACTTGAGAAAATAGGTTTGCTGATATTTTAATAATAATAATAATAATAAGTAATAAATTGGTCAAATGAAAAATCCATTAAAGTTTGTTAGGAACTCTTGATCTTGAATTGTAATTGTAAAAACCTGAATTTCGTAAGCATTTAATATTTATTCATGCTGTGGTTAAGTCACAAGGCTAGTTTCAAAATGATGCAGGCAATTTGCTTCAGACCTAAATAATATTGTTCATGAAAATATGAGTTACCCAAAAAAGAGATGTAACTTTGTAAAGCTTTTTATCACAAACTTTTTTTCAGCAGAAGATACTTCTGTAATAGCTGACAGGGAGACAAATGCGCCTCTAACACAAGTCGACATGGCCCCTACACCAACAGGTAGCAACTTAATACAACAGAGTACATCTATGGTTGTGAGCCAAGTCTCTACCACAGACAATAATGTGTCAAAGCCATTAAAACTAATGGTACCAGAGCCACAGCCCATTAAAGAGATGGTCCTTCACAGCCCCCCTCCTGACTTCCAAAACTCGGTCGGATTGCAGGCAAAGAAAGTGGACCATACCCATGCTTCAATACTCAACAAAAGCCCAAGTACCAGTACAACGAAAAAGGTTGATTTTGCTCTTATTGAGAGCAGCACAAATGGTGACAAACAGGAGGCGGAAAATTGCTCCAAGACAGAAGTGGAGAAAAGCATCTCTGCTTCTGTAGCTACTATACCAGGTGGTATTTCTGTGACAGGTGGGTAGGATTCAGTAATTATTTTTCTATTGAAAAAGTTTGTATTGTTGCCTAGACAATTTATATATTAACTTATTCAAACAAGAAATGGTTTATTAAGTGACCGCAGAATTCTCATGTTGTCTCAGGAATGTTGCATAGAGCAGATTGCAGATTAAATTTTTTAAATTCTTGTCCACTATTGCCCTTGCTAGCGTGTTTTTAAGTTTTATTTCAGTGGGTTTGGCCATCTTTCTTAATAATCTAAGCTCTCCATGATATCTTATGAAAATAAATCACAAATATTTGTTTTTACTGTTCAAGCCTTGGAATTATTTATAACAAAACTCCTGTTTTATAAGAAAAAAAAAGTTAAAGCTTTAAATTACAAACTCTTTACGATATTCTGTTTCCAGATCTTCCCAGCATCCCAGTGGAGTACGAGGAACCAGAGTTTATCTGGGAGGAATACCTGGAGGACACGGGGGCGTCGCCCGCACCTCCCACTGCCTTCAAACATGTAAGTCTACTCAGAGCAATTATTGTTATGGAAAAAGGACAGAATACTGCAGAAGAATAGTTGCAGTAAATACATCATAGAGAAATGAATGTATGTTTTGGAAATCTAAGTTTGCTCCATGAAAAGATATAGAAAAATATAGAAAGGCACTACACTACTTAGTGCTACTTATTCTTTCACATTGCTGAATTACTTCCAATGAGGAGGCATGAATGCTCACTGTTACTAAGGGTGTTAAATATGAAAATCTGTTCTTCGCGAATTTTAATTGGGCTCTATCCAAAGATTATGAGGAAAAAATAAATGATTGAAAAGCATTCTCAGGCAATGCTCTTTATTCATAAAAAAGCTTGCTTTTATTTATAAATGATTAAGTTTGCTTGATATTGATTAATAAATTGGTTAAACTCTCCAGGTTGAGTGCAGTCTACAAAGTGGTTTCACCAAAGGCATGAAGCTGGAAGTGGCCAACAAATGTAACAGTAACACGTACTGGGTGGCGTCCGTGGTCATGACGTGTGGTCCTCTGCTCAGGCTCAGGTACGACGGTTACGACGAGGACAGTTCTGCCGACTTCTGGGCCGATGTGTTTACATCTGATATACACCCCATTGGCTGGTGTGCCCAGAATTCCAAGAGTTTGCAGCCCCCTGAAGGTGAGGTGATATGTCTTGGCTTGATTTTATTTATTTATTAATTGATTTATTTATTTAAAAACTATCACACTTGGTACAGTTGAAACTCTCCAGTTGGTTTAAAAAAGGGTAACACCTTCTAAAACTGAAATATATTACTCTGAAATGTAAAAAAAGTGGTTTTAATTTAATGTTTTGTTTTCCAGCTATTAAAAACAAGTATGACAACTGGAGTGAGTTTTTGGTGAAAACATTGACTGGAGCAAGAACTGCACCAAATTACCTGCTGGATAGGGTAGGTGAACCTTAGGGCTGACAATTTGTATTTTACCTACCAGTCTTAATCAATTCTCCTTTAATTGTTATTATTCATTGACATTATTAATTTTAATAGTACTGGCTCCTTAGAAAGGTCAGCAAAATTTGTAGGTCTGATTTACTAGATACAGCAATGCTCACAAAAAAAGGGGGAAAAAAATGAAAAGTGTGATTTTTCAGTGACTGTCCATCTAATGTGTGACCCACAATTCAGTCTGTGCTGAACTATTTTCCCTTAGGAATGTAAATTAAATTAATGTAAACTGTTGTATTTTTTAATTAGCTGAATACAAAATGTAGTAGATAATGACTGCCCACATTTTCAGACCACAGGTATCACTCCCATTGACCAAATCAAACAAGGCATGAGGCTGGAAGTACAACACGAGCTACAGCCCAAGTCTGTGTGGGTGGTGAGAATTATTGAGAATATTGGAGGCCGCCTCTTGCTGCGGTACGAAGGCACAGATTCTGCCACCCATGACTTCTGGTTGTTTTACCTCCATCCACGACTGCATCCCATTGGATGGGGGCAAGAAAATGGCTGCATTTTTAGACCTCCAGCAGGTAGGTGAACTAAGTCAGTCAAAAATGTTCTTTTACCTTTTATTTGTGATTTTAAGAGCTGAGCCTTTTACTAGATAATTTTGATTTGAAAAGTAAGTTTGAGTGGGCAGCTGGATTGACTGGTGACCTGTAAAAATTGCTGCAGACATTGTTAGAAGTTGTCATTTGTTTGCATATGTCAAACCTCATAAATCGTCTCTTAAGATGAAAAATAATTATATTTAACTACAGAAATCAAAGGAGAACATGAAAACTACACGGAATGGTCTGAAATTCTCCAGTCTGCAATCAAGGAGGCAGGGGAGAGACAGCTGCCATCAGATGTCTTCAAGGTATAACATCAAGTTGGATATCATCAAAGAATTGTAGAAATATAAGCTGTGTGTGAGGTTTATTAAGTCTGTTCAGTAATTTTTCTTCTATCAATGAGATTTATGTCAAAAAAAAAAAAAAAAAAAAAAGTGTTTTTCTTTTTTACTCAAATATTAAAGTGGATACTGCAATATCTTTCCCTGTTTAGGATGATAGGCAGCCAATGATATATAGGAGTTTGATATAGATTATTTCAGGTGGAGGAGAGAGAGCTGTCCCTTTGGTATATACTGTAACCTTGATATGGATTATTTCAGGACCAGATGGAGTTGAGAGAACACAGCTTCCAGAGAGGTTGGAAGCTGGAGCTTCTGCACCCCAAGAATCACACCCACCTGTGCCCCGCCACTGTGGTCCAGGTGATCAACAACCTGTACTTTATAGTGGAGGTGGACCAGCTGACGGAGGGCGAGAACACCACACCTGTGCGATTGTGCTGTCACGCAGACTCCCCAGAAATATTCCCAATTCGATGGGCAATGTGGAAGGGAGTGACGCTGATCACCCCAAAAGGTGAGATGCATTGTGCTGTGTTGGCATGTTTAGAAAAGAAAATGTGCTGTTGGGAATAAGTTATCATATGGTCATATTTTAAAATCTTGGACTGAAAATAAATATGAATGTTTATGCGTGAAATGTTGGAACATTGTTTTTGGGGGTGTTACGTTCTTAGATTTGTTTGATATTAACACGTAGTTCATATTTATAATTACAATCCTCACTAGGTTATGCCAAACCAGAATTTGACTGGGATGTCTACCTGGCAGACACAAATTCCGAGGCAGCTCCAGAGAAGTGCTTCAACATGGAGGTTCCAGAACACGAGTTTAAACGAGGACAGAAACTGGAGGCTGTGAACCCTGAACACCCCCATCAGATCTGCTGTGCAACAATCACCAAAATCATTGACAAACTAATCTGGATACACTTGGACAGCTCTGCTTCCATGAAAGCCAATCATATTGTAGATGTGGAGTCACATGATATATTCCCAGTAGGCTGGTGTGAAAGTAATGGCTACACTTTGAAACCGCCACAGAAGAATTTTGGGAGAGGGCGTGTGAAAAAAGTAGCTGTTGTGCAGCCTGAGTGAGTGATTCTTGTAATCTAGTTCAAATACCTTTCGTTCAAATGCTTGGAAAACTTATCAACTATGTTTTCAGTTCTAAGATAAAATAAATAAATAAAAAACTTCTGGGGTTAAATGAGGAAGAATGCAGTTTGAAATTTTAGCTTTATAATGGTTGAAATCCTTTATAAATTGAGCAAAGTGGAGCAAAGTGGCATTGTGGAACTGCATGTGAAGGAGGAGAGTCTTTCTTAAAAGGCTTAGTGCAGTGTGTCAAATAATTATCAATTACTGGTGAAGTTGCCTGCTAGTAAAGCACCATGCAGATGGTTTGTTACCAGTGATGAGGCCTTTTCGCATTTTTATGAATGATAACTGAGACTGAAAAGTAACAATCTTAAATTGTTTTAGTTGAACAAAATCTGTTTGTCTTTTCAGGAGGATAGTTGGTGACCACTGCAGTCCTGATGACTTCAGAGCTTTGACTTTCTCACAGATACAAAATGGGGATGCCGGAAGTGAGTTAAAAACTTCTGTCATCAAACCATTTGTTATGTTGATAATATTTTTACTTAATATGAAGATAGATATGGACAATGTAACTATTTTATATATTTATTATTTAAATTATTAACAAGATTTTTAATGATGAACATTTATACACAATTTGAATTTAAAAATGATCAAAAATAATTAGATTCCATAATGCTGTTGTAACTATTTTGGTTATTAATGTTAAATTCTTTAATGATGTTTGTACTAAAAAAATAATGGAATTTAAAAAAGTTTAGTTTGCCTTTTTCTCTTACAGTGTAGTATAGTATACTTTAGTACATAATAGGATAAGTATTACAGTTTAAGGACCTGTGGATGAATTGGCATTAAATTTGAAATTTAATTTTCTAATCAGAATTGCATCACTGTTTTCAACTTTTCAGATGGCTGGTGCCCCAAGATTTACTTCAACCACAAGTGTTTTTCTGGTCCGTACCTTAGCAAGGGGCGTATAGCTGAGCTTCCCAAGTGTGTGGGTCCTGGTCCCGTGGTGCTGGTGATTAAAGAGGTGCTAACCATGCTTATTAATGTGGCCTACAAGTCCAGCAGGGTGCTACGAGAGCTGCAGATGGACCATGAGCCGAACCCTAGGATGTACCAGCAAATGCTCAAAGCAAAGTGAGTACTGGTCTGGAAAAAGCCATTGCTTTTGCATTTTGAGCAATGGGTTTGTGTTATGAAAAAAAAAATTGTGATATCTATGTATATTACCACTTTGTTTAATTTTCTTATTATATGTGTCGTTTTTATCAAATTATATCTCATTATTCAGCAATATGATTGCATAGAATTTAACATAGCCTGGCTCTTGTGCATGTTGGCAAATTTGTGGTATTTGTAATATAATTGTTTTATTTAGGTGTTTCAAATTTAGAAATTATTGAAAATTATTAAAAATTTAAAAAGTCTTATAACATTTGACAAACATTTCCCTGCAGATACAAAGGCAAGAGTTACCGTGCAGTGGTAGAGATTTGTAAGACTACAGAACAAATTGAGGAATTCTGTCGCCAAGTGTGTATCAAGCTGGAGTGCTGCCCAAACCTCTTCAGCCCCCACTACGTAGACGAGAACTGCCCAGAACACTGCTCTCAGCTCACCAAGACCAAATACAGTAAGAATGAAAAAAAACTTTGTGCACTATTTTTCACTTCTAAAAAATGTTCATTTTAAACTCAACCTCCTATTGAAAAACAACTACCAGAGTTTGTGCTATTACATTATTGAATTTATATATAATTTATCAAAAGATATGATCATCATTAACACCTATTATATGAACATTACCATACGCTACAGTTAAAAATATGTCATCTCCCAATATATTATGAATGATTCAGCAACAAAACCTTGCACAGCTTCAGTTGCAAAAATACTTTAAAACTTTCAGTAAATAAACATCTTGTTTAATGATTTATCAATTTAAATCTCTTTCTACACAGCATATTATTATGGCAAGAAGAAGAAAAGGAAGATAGGACGGCCACCAGGGGGACACACAAATCTGGAAAATGGGCCCAAAAAACCTGGGAAACGGCGCAAAAGGAAGAAGGTGAACCTGATGGCCAAGAAGAAATCTGTAGTTTCAGAAAACGGTGATGATTTAGACATGAACGGAGAAGGGGAAGAGGAGGAGGTATTTGAAGCAGATAATCAAAGCGTAGTTAGCAAAGAATCAGAAGACAGTGTTGAACGAGAGAGACAGATGTACTCTAGACAAACCTCGAGGCAAATTTCCAGGGATCCCGATTTTAAACCTTTGCGTCAAAAACGCAAATATACACATTATGTGGCACCACCTACAGACATTCGCACCAGAGGCGTGAAACTGCCAAAATATACTTTTGAAAAGAGGACTCACAAGAAAATATTGTGGTCAGAGATGTTTGATGGAGATGAGGACGTAGAAGAAGAAGTCCCACAAGAGGAGGTGAGGAAGAAACGAGGAAGGAAGTCGAAGAAAGATCTGGAAACAGAAATGGTGGCATCCACACTTCCATCTCAGAAGGAGAAACCCTACTATGTAAGTAGGGATGTTGTTTACCTTCTGTCTGGCTAGGGTATGAACTTCCTTCGCTTGACATGGTCCATAAAAATACTTACTGATAAAAAGAGACAAACTTTTTTTTCAAAAATAATAACAATACAGAAAGATGCTTTGGAAAGACTGCCAAGAAAATTGTTTGTTTTGAACCCTTTCAGTTGCTAAAATATGTAATTATTTCTTGAAAAATGGTGAAAGAATAGATGAAACAGGTATCTTTAAGAATATGCTGATTGTACATAGAATATTACACAAAGATTTCTATTTGTCATCATCTTTTTCAGTCTATCAAGCCCTCTGAGAGACTATACCTGGAATCGAACCCTCTCCACTGGAGTGTGGCCAATGTCATACAGTTTATTAAAACCACAGACTGTGCACACCTGGCCAGGGCTTTTAAAGAACAGGTATGTATCAGAAACCTGGATGTCAAGAAGGTACAGGGATCGGTTTGAATAATCTTGCTTTGAAGGGAACCTGGTGTTGGCCTAGCTGGAAAAAGTATTTTTATTGTGAGAGGAACCGGTTGCCAGGCTCAGGACTTGCATCAGGAAAGAGCACAAAGATGAAAAAGCCCAATAAAGCAAGGCGGATATAAAACAGTACATTAAAAAAACAACTTAACTGTTGTATGTGAAATATATGGGCTCAGAGATGGAGAAAAATTGTTTGTCAATTAAATGGTTTCATCTCAATTTGTACATTTTTTTTTGGGGGGGGGGGAGGGAGTAAGGAAGCAGGTGTAGGGCATGTGATTCATTATGCCCCTTCTGGCTCTACCATTGCTGTCCATTCAGATCACATAGTTTTAAATTTAAATTACCATAATTATATAATCCTTAATTGTTTTCTCTCTGTAGGACATAGATGGTCAAGCACTGCTGTTGCTGAGCCTGCCAACACTCCAGGAACACATGGAGCTAAAACTGGGACCTGCAATCAAACTGTGTCACCATATAGAGAGGGTCAAACTGGCTTTCTTTGAACAATTTGTATAGGAATCATCCACTGTCTTTAGTAATTTGAGGGGTCGGTTATAAGTTGAAAGTTATACCTTAATCATGGATTTCTGAATTATGAAAAATGCTTGTCACTTGTTGAAAGAAATTGAGAAACATAATAAGAATGGTTGGTTATAATGAGATGAAGGTTATACCTTAATCATGGATTTCTGAATTATGAAAAATGCTTGTCACTTGTTGAAAGAAATTGAGAAACATAATAAGGTTGAGTAGTAACAATTTATTTTCAGAAGTGCTTGCAGCTAGTTCATATACCAGGCTAAGCCTTGTTGACAAATTCATATAATCATGGATTTATGAATTAAAAATATGAGGAAAAAGTCAAGAATTGCAAGTTAAAATGTAAATCAATAGGCTTATTATTTAGAAGCAATTTTAAATAGCGGTAATATGTGCTCAAACTGTTTAACCTTGTATGACTATGATATAATGATTTTTTAAAGATATTTTTGTTGGACTTCACGGAGGTTACTTAACACAGGGTTCAAGACAATCCAACTCTCAGGCTAGAAATGACCTCGTAATTTGCAAAATGTCTCTTCGAAATTTTTTGCCAAAGTCACTTTCCTGATTGAGAGGTTACTTTTTAAATACATTGAAAAATGATTCTATCTGAATTTCTATTAAAATGCCACCATGACAGAAGTTTTTGGTAGTTTTTAAAGGGGAATTTTATGTCCTTGCATTTTTGATTTTGTTAATCAAGTTCGTAATTGCCCACTTAATGTGCAATGTATACATGAAAATTCCATTTTACTATGCCATTGTTGATGTTGAAAAGATTAAAAAAATTGCTGAGAAAACATTTTAAATGTTTTTCATCCAAATTCATTCAGCAGTTTCTGAATTACCATTACTCCATTATGATTTGGTTTTATCAGATTCAGAACTTCTGATGGAAGTTAAGTGTAGATAAAAACTTCGAAAAGATGATCCATGTAGCATATATTTTATACCAGACAATGACTGTTTATTTCACACAACCGGTGATGAATAAGGACACGGTAAACATTTTTCTTTATTTTAAGCCAGGGGATATAAACTTTTATTAACATTTGGTGAAAAATATAATTGTATTCTGATACTAGTCTATCCAGTCTATCGATGTTGGTGCCAGATATCAGTAATTAACTGCGACCAATTGGTTTAGCAGCAGGCTTCACTCTTAGTTGTGTTCACATCTGGTTTCACAAAGACCAATTGGGTCAAAAAATGGCTGCCAGACAAACTACAGAGTCTGACAGCAAACCATATGACATTAACCAGTTATATGATATTTACTAACTAATAAAAATCTCCAGTGTTCAGATGGACTGGTACGGCTATGGTAGGAGGTTTTAGTCTGTCGTTTATTTTGATCGGTTTGTTGGTTTGTCTAGTTGCAGGAAAGCTTAACCTGATGTGAATTTTCTTTAAGGCATTTGGTTGCTAGATCCCAGATAGCAAGCATACGTTGGGCCAACNATAACAGTGATTTGCAGTGAAGGAAAATGGAGGGCTATAATTCAGACAGTATATGAGGAAAAATCTGAGTTGTACACAAATTTCTAGACATAATTTTCATTCTGTCATTTTTTGGAAAACAAACTTTATCTCTTGTGATAATATGCAGCTTTGTGAAGCTGCTATTTTTCTATGCAATGAAAAGACTATTTGAGCAGCTGCAAAAAATTAAAAAGGAAGAATGGGTTGTGAATTGATTTTAGTTCATATGAATTACACCAGACTTCAAGTTAAAGGTGCAAGTGGGTATTCTTTGTCTTGGTGTTTATATAATTTTATTCAAGAGGGTGGTTATATTTGCTTAGGTACATGTAATATTTGGCAAAGGATCATTCTCTTAATTTTCCCATCTTACTCTACCGACATTGTTAATGTGTAAAAACGAACAGTATACCCACTATAATAATATAATTTTCCTTGTGGAAATGTACATGTTTTATGAAATATTTGACACAGCTCACTAGTCAAGTCAGTTGTATAATGCAGTAGGTTTGTACTGATTCTGTAGATATTGGGAAGGGGGGAGCGATGGTATAAAATGTCAATGGTAGCTAATTTTAAAACAAAAATTGTGATTATTTTTTATACATTTGTCATTCTCAAAAAAAGGTAATAATAATAANGAAGAGACTGTGATTTTATAGACTTCACATGTAACTTATGAAAAGCATCTTACCTGACATTAACGAGGGTTTCTGGTTTAAAATTTAATTTAATGAAAATATTTTTAAAAATTGAAATGAGGCAAAAAAAGACTTTACTAGCAGAAAAATGCCTTGACTCCAGGAATAAGTGGAAAGTCATAGGACTGTTGATATTTTTTCTTGATGTGAATCATGTAACAATTGATAAAAGACACACTTATTAATGTTTAAATACAATATTATAACATTTTATAAAAATTTTCTTTGTTGTCTTTTTGTATTATTTGTTGGGTTATTGTTGGACTGATGTTGGTTTTTAGTAGAACCAACGTAAATGCACTGTTGGTTACAGGTTGGGAAATTGTTGGACCAATGTTGGTTATTAGTTGGCCCAATGTAGGGCCAACGCAGTTTGGTTGGGTAATTGTTGGACTGACGTTGGTTATTAGTAGAACCAACGTAAATACAGTGTTGGTTACAGGTTGGGTAATTGTTGAACCAATGTTGGTTATTAGTTGGCCCAATGTAGGGCCAACGCAGTTTGGTTGGGAATACGTTGGCAATGCGTTGGCCTTAAAAAGACGTTCAGCCAACCGTTGGCCAAAGTGAGCACTTAGATGGAAACCCAACGTTGGGCCAACGTTGCACGGCCAACCAAGGCAACGTTGGGCCAACGTTGGCCCAACGTATGCTTGCTATCTGGGATAACAGTGATTTGCAGTGAAGGAAAATGGAGGGCTATAATTCAGACAGTATATGAGGAAAAATCTGAGTTGTACACAAATTTCTAGACATAATTTTCATTCTGTCATTTTTTGGAAAACAAACTTTATCTCTTGTGATAATATGCAGCTTTGTGAAGCTGCTATTTTTCTATGCAATGAAAAGACTATTTGAGCAGCTGCAAAAAATTAAAAAGGAAGAATGGGTTGTGAATTGATTTTAGTCAATATGAAGTACACCAGACTTAAAGGTGCAAGTGGGTATTCTTTGTCTTGGTGTTTATATAATTTTATTCAAGAGGGTGGTTATATTTGCTTAGGTACATGTTATATTTGGCAAAGGATCATTCTCTTAATTTTTCCCATCTTACTCTACCGACATTGTTAATGTGTAAAAACGAACAGTACACCCACTATAATAATATAATTTTCCTTGTGGAAATGTACATGTTTTATGAAATATTTGACACAGCTCACTAGTCAAGTCAGTTGTGTAATGCAGTAGGTTTGTACTGATTCTGTAGATATTGGGAAGGGGGAGCTAATTTTAAAACAAAAATTGTGATTATTTTTTATACATTTGTCATTCTCAAAAAAAGGTAATAATAATGTACATGACAATGATATTTGTTCAAATGTACTTGTATGTACTTCCAGTGAATTGATTTGTAAAAATAAAATTGGTAAGGAAGTTCCAGTTGTTCAGAGTTGATAAGATATTAATGTCAGGAAGAACTTGATTATATTGATTGGGGATTGCCTGGATCGACAAAGAACATTACTGCAATAATGTGGGATTTTCCAGTGCTCTGTAATGAAAAATACCCAGTTTCTAGGGTGGCAATATAGAAGTTGTAAGGTTGCGTAAGGCCCTAACAAATAAATTTTTCAAGAAAAACTGTTCTTAAGGGAAACTTTGTGATCAACTTAGGTCACCAGCTTCTGAACTGCACCCAGACACGGGAACTTGTACAGTATTGCATTATGCCTTTTTGTATTTTTTGAAATTATAAAATTAAAGACCAGTGGATTATATAATTAATTTCTCCATTATATTTTAGGTGCTGGTGTTTTAAAATATAGTGGCTTGCTTAAAGACCCCCCCCCCTCACCACACCCTCCCATACCATAATATTTGATGTTAAATTCACGTATCAAACCAAAAATGACCACAGTTTAGATCACACTTCTCACACTGTGGTCATTTTTGGTTTGATATGTGAATTTAACATCAAATATTATAATCACTATCACCTTATCCAATGGTCAAGCGCAAAAATGACTGCTTGAATTTTCCATATAACCTGAAGCTTGTAAAAAAGACTAAATATCAAAATCAGAAAATTGTGTTCAATCAATTGTGTTTATTCAATACAATAACCTGATTCAGAAACCACAGGGAGGAAAAACAATTGATTTTTGATTTCACTTGGCAATGTATTACAAGGATATATATAAATACAAATCCATAACAATAATATATTTGGATCCAATGTATTAGAAAGATTAGATATGACCAACCCTACTTATCACTTATTCGGTTAAAAAATGGGGGTCCCGGGTCATATTATGATCTAAAACTTCCTGACAACTCAACACATTGTCAAGTTGAACACCATCTGAGCTGGAGCAAGACCATGAAAGCAAGTCCACCTAAACTGTAACTTTCCTAAAATATACTATAGCTTGCCATCATTTCTGACGGCTATTGTTTCAGTATTCTCTGTTAAGTTTTGCACCACTGTATTATTTTAATTAGTTACAAACAAACAGTTTGTCATGTTTTCTTTGCTGCCTTGGCATCTGCTGCGGCCTGTGCAGCTTTCTTGGCTTTCACCATCTCAGCCAGCTCCTGGAAAAATAAGAGGAAACTTGCTTTAAGCCCTATTCAGTGAATTACAATAACTGAAATAAAATGACTACTGGCAGTTAAGCATTCCCTAGTTTTACCCTACTTTTGCATAATTTTTCAAAATGAAGATAAATTAAGGTTTGAATCTGTGATTTGCATTTGAGTGACTACTACTCCATGGCTTTCATACTCCTTAACTTAATGTTAAGGAGATTTCGCAACAGTATTCTTGACAACAGAATGCTTATTATTTTCACAGCAAAACGAAGTGTTTAAGTATTTACTCTAAAAATTATGAATCTGGTTGAGCTTTTGAAACATTTCTTAACCCCAAATATTGATAATATTATAATTGCACTATTTTTACCTTGTATCTTTTCATGCAATCCTTCTTACTTCTGGTGGCTATCGTTTCTGCTATTCTATCCCATCGGTCTTTCACGCTTGCAGGGAATGTTTTTAGGGCTTGCTCCAGTAACTTCTGCTCTTCTGTTGTCCATGGAGCAGGGTTGGAGCCTGTCTGGGCCACCTGTTGTTCTCCTACAGCTGGAGGAATGAAAATGAAATGAAAGTGTAAGCAACAGTGTTGCAATCAATCATCCTGTGGGTGCTTTTCGTATGAAATTGTATTATAATTCTTGATCGCTGAAATACATATTAATACTCCACTTACATTAAAATACCATATTAGGTTTTTATATTAATAAGATACACCACAGTTTTCATTTATATAATGATTGCTCACAAAAAAATATGATCAAGTTAGTGTCTGTTTGATAATGTTCATTAAACATTCTTGGTACTCATAACAATATTCAAAACAAAGATGCAGAAAACCACACGAAATCATTCAACTTTCTTATTTAAAATTAATTTTCAACAGAGTGTTGTCATTTCTTGCTGGCATTAGCATCATTAAGTTATCAAAAACTTTCCATATATACTCAGTATATATATATATATATATATATATATATATATATATATATATATATATATATAAGCATTACATGTATCTACTTTCAGACAAGACCAAACTTACATTCTACCCTTTCTGAAGGCTTATCTCCTACTTTTGCATTTTTCTTCTGTTCTTTTTCTTTCTGCAAGATCTCAAAGGCTTTCTCATTGACTAGTTGCTTCTGACTTTCATCCATTACTGGAAATTTTAAGTTGTGAAAACAAGAGATCAATGAATTCAATATTTAGTAAAGGCCCAATCTGGAAGAAGCATTATTCTTAAAACCATTCTATTTAAGGATCAGATGGCAAAGTCAGGCACAAAAAATGCTTCAACAAATTTTCTTATAATGCTCAGATGTGCAGCACTCTTCATTCTCTGCAAGTCTCAGGCCATCATCGAAATATTAATACATCTATCATATCCAAATACACTTGTGTCTTTGTAACATATTTTCTGCATTACTGACCATTCTTCTGCAAGGCTTTGGCTTGTCCTAGGACTTCCTTGGGGGTCCTGTTGCTGCCCTCTACATGTTGGTTGATGTAGTTTGCTATCACCTCCCACCTGATTGATATAAGGTGAAGTTTTATAAAAATGATGACAGTCAAAGTCACTTTATTTAGAAAATAAATGTAATGTGTTTCTGTACAGATTAACAATACCTTACCTTTGTTTAGTTCCAGCAGGAAAGAGATTCACAGCCTTAATAAGTATCTGAGTTTCTTCATCACTCCACTGCTTGGCTCTGGCGCCTGCAGACCCGCCTCCACTGTTCTGTTTCTTGGTAGCTTCAAGCAGCTTCTGTTTTTCTGCTTCTCTTTTATCGTCCAGTTCTTTCACCTGAACATGGTATCAAATAATTCTTTAGGGTTTTGTTTATGCACTGTAATTGAAACACTGATTGATAAACAACATTTAATTTAGAACTGTGTCATTTGAAAAATACTACCAGCTAAAATATCATAAATCAAATCTCTGGTCTCAAATCTAATGTAAAACAGACAAGTTGATCCCTGCTGCATCTGATGTATAGTAACTAAGTTTCTAGGATTGCACATACTTTTTAATGACTTGTCTTATGTCTAAAAACATTTTCCTTTTTGCAAAATGGTAGTGATATTGGCAAAAAGGACAAAATCGCTTCTTAAAGCACCAAATAAATATTAAATTAATTCTGTTCAACTTTCATGAATTTGCTGAAACAAATTTTATATAATAATTTCATTCATCTATCTGTCACTATTTTTTAACTTGCCTCAGCTGTGAAAGCCTGTGATGCCCTCTCTTTGTCCCCAGATGTGAGAGCCTCATTCAACGACTGTAAACTAGAAAAAAAAAAAAACAAAAAAACAAGCACAAATCAAGTTTCTAAAATATTAGGGCATGGTCACTAGATTTCTTTACGTTAAAGAACAGGAGACAAACAATCTTCTTGCTTTTAATGTTTGCCACAGTAGCAGGTGAAAATGACTAGCAGGCACTACCAGTATCAGCTTGCCTGTGGTGCAGGGGATCATGAGATAACTTTATTCCTACATTCAGGTGATACCAAAAATATTCTGAAAACATTGAGTAAACTGTTCTCACCTCACTAAGCACTTACCACATGGAAGGTGGGTAATACTCATTATTGTGAGTGATAATTCTGAGCAACACCCATGCAAAAGTTTGGGTGGTATGTAAGGGAAATTGATTCAGGGTTGAAAAGTTCCATGAAGACCAGGCTTAAATCATAACACTGGCTGATCTTATTGAGGATAAAAGGGTTTTCATCTTAAACATCTAACTAAATGCAGTTCTAAACTATGTCACTTGTGTGTCATTCAAAATAATCAGTTTCAAAATTCCACACTTAAACAGAAATATTACTTACCTTGTTAAAGATAGCATATCTGCCAATTTTTCAACATCAGCCATGTTCTTTACACGCTCTGCCTCATCAGCAGCAAAGTAATCAAACTCCTGAAAAGTGCACACAGTGAGATAAAATTTTTATTATTGTTGTTATCAAAACCAAACAAATTACAGTTTATGAGATAAAATATCAGTTAATGTAAAGAATAGCATTGATGATATCTTAACTCATCAAAGTACACGACACCTTATTGTACAATGCAAGGGCAAGATTAAATATCAGAGTTAAAGGACTGAGAGTGTCAAATACACAAATGAAAAACTAACAAATAAATCAACCTTTATGATTGTCCTTAATGTTTTTCTTTCCTTCTTTAAAATCTTTTTCATTGCTTCCTTTTCCTTCTTGGCAGCTGCAGCCTAAAAAAGTGGAAAGAAAAAATTGTATGAATGCCTTGAATATGTCAATTTCACACACAAATCAATTGCTTTAATTGTTAAATATAAAGTCTGGAAAGTTGGGATGCACTTTGCATAAAGACTATAAGATAATGTATAAAAGGAAATCTATTATAACAGTAAATCTCCTGTAAAAGTAATATATACATACAGATAAATCATAGTTACTTATACAATTTAGAAAAACATCCAACCTGAGCTTTTGCTTCCTCTTCTTCTTTCTCTTTTTGTTTTCTCTCGGCTTCTAACTCCTCTTCTTTTTTCTGTTAAATGGTAAAATATTTTTCAGAGCATTCTGAACAGAATTGAAAATGAACAGTAAATGGGAACATTCTTACCTTTCTCTGTTAAACTCTATTGCTATAATCATGTATGACTATGATTTTAAATTTTGTTTTAAAGATCCTACTTATATTTTCAAATTCTCAGAACACACAAGAATTGTATATATATTTAGTAAAGATGAAAAGCAAGACAATACAGTAGCAAATTATTTAATTATATCTACCCTTTTCTCTTCCTCTGCTTTTTGCCTTGCAGCTTCTTGCTTTGCACGTTTCTGTGCAAGCTTCTTCTCTTTTTCTTCATCTTTAAACCTCTGTATTCTTGGATCACAGGCATATGCATTGTCTTTTTATTAAAAAAGAAAAATAAGTTTAAAAATATCAAATTTGAAATTTATTTGGAAAAAATATTATAATAATATTTGTGACAACAGATTAAAATTACATGAGATGTCCCACTGAAATATAAATCACAAACAGCATAAATGTGAAGATAAGATTGGCATAGGAATTTTCAGTCAGAATTTTAAAGTTACTTAAACTGAATCTTAAAAACTTGATGAAGTATAGAATGACATGATTAAATAATATGTATGTTTTGTTCACAATGAACATGGGTTTTTATTGGTTTTCTTTATCATGATACTTAAAAATGCTTTCTGTATCATTACAATTTTCAACACCTTGTGTGGTAAAAAACTAAGTTTGTGTAAATTACTTGCAGTAATAATGCTGCAAATCAAAGTATTAAACTAAATAAAAATGTTGTGAAAAAATTATCAATATATTAAAATATAGGAGGAAATTAAAATGTCAGACATCTCACCTACTAACAGTCGTATCCTTGTCACCTCTTCCTTTTTTCTTTTGGCACGGGCAGCTTTGTTTTGTCTCTCAATCCACTTTCTTTCTTCACGACTGAAATATAAATGCTTCTAAAATTATCTCCATTGAACAGATAAAAAAAAATCTTTTTAAATATTGCCAAAAAAAAATTTTGGTTGGAAAAAATACTTTTCCCAAAAGTATTATTCCCAAAATATCAGATTCTACAATTTCAAAATATTATCATTAATTTGGCTATAATCATTACATAGTAACAGTATACTCACTCTTGGCCCTTCTCCTTTTCTTCTTCATCTAGGTAAGAATACTCTCTCCAAGAATCAAAGTCATACCTAAAAAGTACAGAATAATACAAATGGCAAAAAATGCCCCATTCCATTAAACTTTCCAAATTTGTCAGCACCTTACTGGGTTGGCTGGCTATTAATTTCATAAGTGGAATTAAAACTGTACTGACAGTGGTCTACAAGCAAATTATCTGACACACACCTTTGAACTGAACAAAAATTATATTAAAGTTTAAAGATATTGCATTCACATCATATGACTGTTATTTGAAGGTTATTTTTGGTTTGAATTTTTCTGAAATAAAATTTCTAAACTGGATACATCACAAATGTATCTGTAATACAAGCCAATCTTTTGTCTGTTTGTTTATATCACATTCATACCATTTTAACAACAATACAACCACATAAATTACAAGTACATTACACAACATTTTGTGAAAGAACTTGTTCACAACAAAGTGACCTAAACCATAAATACTCTCTACATTCTTCAATTATGATTTTTAAATTCTAGGGAATAATGGGGATACCAATGTAATTTGGCCACTTGTTTACGTGAAGTGGTTTGTGAGCCCAGCCCAAAACAGTGGGAATACATGTACCTACCAAAATGCATAGAAGTCATTAACTTCATCAAAAGATGAATCAATGTCTCCTAACTGTGGAACAGGCTTCTTCTTATTTGACCACCTATGTGAAAAATTGAAAGGTAAAAACCTATCTGTCAGCATTCAAGGCAGAAAATCAGGATGTTATTTTTACAGTTAGAATGAACTTCTGCTTATTCATTACAAACATTCAACTGTTGGCATTTTTTAAACTTAAAAAACTTACCAAACACATGGAAAGAAATATAACAAGTTTTCACCTCTTTTCACTCAATTCTCCAAAATAAATATCCTAATAATTTACCTGGCATTAGCTTCAAATACAGGTCTGAAAACTTCAAAGAATTCTTCTTTGTCTTTGTTATCTGATGACACTTCCGGTACATCATCATCAAACTGAGGGTCTACGCTGTCATAAGATCTACGCTTGACACGGTTTCCCAGAATTTCATAGGCTGAAGTAATGATATAAACTTATCTTGTTGTTGATACTAAAGAACAAGAAAACTACAAAGAAAAAAATGTTTAACAGAAAAGACTCTTCAATTGTTTCAATGATAGTTTGAGAGTCTTCAAATGTGTTTCAGTAGAAGTTTTTTATAGACTTCCCTACTTTTCAGGATCAGGAATCATAAAGGGTAGTGAACAGTAAAAACTTGCCAATTAAGACAACAAAATTCATCAGGGCTTTTGCCAGCAGTTAGTGAGTACTATTTATTTGACAATTTTAATTGTGATTCTTGCACCAAACCGGTCGTCACATGACTAAGCACAGGAAAATGTAAGTGTATAAATAGTCAGTGGGAATAGAAAATTAATACAGACAAACTCACAATTAATTGATATCTTTTCCATGTCCGTGATAAGCTCCTTACCTCTAGTTATACATGTGAAATAGTCATCATCTCCCTCTTTCACATTCTCCCCTCTGGCTTTTCTCTTGTCAGGGTGATGCTTTAGGACCTTCTTCTTGTCTGGTAAGCAGCAAACACAACAAGAACACAGAATAATGCAATAACTTAACACTAAATATTTATTGAATTTGGAGTGGACAAAATGAATAAATAACTTTATTTTTAAACATTGGCAATATTTAAAGAATTTGATTAGAATTTTTTAAACTCTTGGGTCTGGGTAGAATGCACATTTTTGTGACTGTTTTAACATAACTAATCTTAAAAACATAATTCTTTTTTTTTTTAAAGTGGGACATTTGAAAATTTCAAGAAATTAAAAATCAAAAATTTAGTATATGTACTTTATCATATCCTGGTGTAATTTCAAGAGTGTAGTGCTCATAAACAATCAGGTTTTAAATGCACCAATCTGTAATATAATATTTCTGTGCTGTTTTTTTAGACAATACAAGAATGAAGCCCTGCTTTGTATGCTGGTGTAATTTCACGAGTGTAGTGCTCATAAACAATCAGGTTTTAAATGCACCAATATGTAATATAATATTTCTGTGCTGTTTTTTAGACAATACAAGAATGAAGCCCTGCTTTCAACTATAATGTAACGATTGAAGGTCTCAGATGAGGCCAAAAACTTTGGCCAGTTATTGTGAAGACTTTGTCTACAACTTGCTTAGTGCATGGTTTCATTTCAGCAATAAAATCTTTTTTCTTTTCTAAAAAAAAAAAATCATGTTAACACAACCCTGAGTAAGCTACTAAATGGTTCATATCACTTACATGCTCTTTTTATTTGCTCCTCTGTGGCTTTATATCTCTCATTTTTTAAACCAAGAACAGCATAATGGTCTTGTTGCTGGAAAAAAATACTTTCCAATAACAGTATGAATTTAAAATGAAATAATACTATCTGTGAGATTAAACATTCAATGTTTACAACTTTTGAAAAATTTTAATGCATAGGTAAGCAGCCCAAATCATATGCCTACCCATCATATTTAAATAGGATCAAGTAAATCTTACTTGTGTCACAAAAACAACCATATCATCAACCTTAAGATTGAAAATACAAGGAGTTTGATGGCTGGTCACACAGAAAACATCACTACTTGCATATATGTCATTGCAAATGGTGAAAAACATATTTAAGATATTCAAATTCATTTAATAGAAAATATCCAGTCTATCTCTGTGTCTCAACATTAGGAACAGCTTCTTCAGTGACATATCATTTTGTCATCTGGTAATGTGAATTGTAAGTAAATATTTACATTTTCAGTTTATGTAGTTCTCAATGTGATTTATACCTTCCACTCTTTAGGGTCCAGTCCCTTCAACATAAGCTCATCCTCTTCATCTGTGGAGGCATCGCTGATATTTTCCTCAGAGGAGGAAGATGTCATAGTTGTGTGTGACAGACTCTGTTTATTTCTTCTCCTCAAGCAGTAGGCCTCAAACCATCTTCCTACTGGCTCTATGGACACCATTTGCAGGGCTGGAAAAGAAACACATACATGTTAAGCAACAGACTGTCTAGTGGCTGAAGCAATGATTAAAAAAATTGAATTGTGTAAATAATGTAAATTGTAAAAGTTGCTTCTTTTTTCATTTTACATAAATTTGATTTCAAAGTGACAATGTGCAGGAATGACAGTAAAAGGAAATGAGCTAAGAATTCAATCCCATCCTTCTCCAAATTTTTAAAACTTTGTTCCTCTCCAAGAACTAAGATCAGGCTTTCCCCACAGAAACATGAAGTTCCTACCTAAATTATTATGAAAGTTAGTATAAAAGTATGTAATTGTATATTGTAAATTTTAGTGCACATTACTTGGCATATATAGAAAACATACTGATGTATTCAATATAAACACAAATAAAGCCTGTGCCACGTTTTGCTAAGCTTCAGATTTTTAAGTGATAATAAAGTGTGGTGGAAATTGAAAGATGGTCATTTAGGTCCAGGCAAGAGCTGGACTGTAGCTAAAATAAAAACTGCATCTCACGTGAAATTTTAGCGACCACCATGCTTCTGTCCTCTTCGGCTGGTGGGCTATCCATTTTCGTCACACACTTGTATCCAGTTGGGGTCTTCACTACAATTTTAAGTTATTTCTAATTACATCTCAACAATGTTGCTCTCACATGTTTGCCGGAAACAGTGACCTATATTCTTCTTACCCACATTGCATTGCGACTCTTGTATCCTTTCTAAAGCGAGGCTAGTGAAATTTTGGTGATGGCTGGAAAGGAGGAAGCGCACAAAACAGTAAATATCACAGCTAAATTGCTTATACATTTTTGGTTAAAGGTCTTTGCTATCATATTCAGTATGTGGATTTCACGGTAGACACATTAATAAGATACCACAGTATCAATGACACTTAAGATTTAAAAAGGGTGAATGGTTGAATTTTTCTGTCACCTTAAAATGAAAGTGAAACTCATCAGAAGCTGCTTAATTAATTGTGAAACATGCATAAAATGTTCATTATTTAACTTAACAATCTAGTACTAGTAGAAGTAGCTAACTGGCATGTAATAGAAATAAAACTATTATCAGTTTTATGACCATCATTTATCTTATTTTTGTGATGTCAAATAAGACTAGCTGAAAAAATTTCTTCATTAAGAGCCTCTGTGGGCCAGTGCTGGATCATATCTATGGGACGATCTATGGAAATTGCATTGGAGATGCCATTGGTTTACTAACAGAATTCATGTGCCGGAGAATGGCTAAACAGGTGATTTAATAAACGGCATGTTCATGAAATTTTCACAAAAAAATCATATCAATGATATGGAACTGGTTAGAAGATCACATACCATTCTAGAATGCTGCCTCCTACCCTGATTTGAAATAACAGGCAGTTGTTGACTTTGATGTCCATACCCTGATAACATTTATAATACAAATTATTGAAATAATTCTTATAGGCAGTACTATAATATTGCAATTGTCATCAAAATTTGATTGGACATTAAATGTTCATCGTATGATATATCAGAAAGAACTGACTTCTCTTTGTTAAAATACATACATATGTTGTTAAGTTTATGAAAAACACTATAAGCATTGTATACAGATTATAAAAATCCCTGTTTTATTTTAGAACTATGGAAAGGCAAAAGTTTTAGAGTACAACCTGAAAGTGCCAGATATGCATAGAAGCCGCTGGGAAGAAGGAGATTGGACTGATGACTCTGACCAGATGATACTGATAATGCAGTCTCTGATTGAACACAATGGAGTGGTAAATGATCATTTTTGTTTTGACAAATAAAATTCAGTTACATTTTGTCAAACCTGTGATAAATGAAAAAAGTTGTGCAATTTTGTCACGCTTAGCTCAGAGGCTATCAATCAGTGCTTTGTTCCTGAGCATTGCCAGTTGAAATCAATGTAAGTGGAAGCACTAGTGGAAGTACTAGTACTATGGCTCCAAGATCGGTTACATAGGGGTGAATTTCACCATTTTCTGTCGCAATTTTTTCAGCTTCATTATCTGGAAGTATTTGGAAGAATGTGTCAGGATTGATGACTGATCCCCTCTGACCCTGTTAAAATATGTATCTTAAATGCCATCGAAAGTCATCAACTTTTACTTTGTTCATGAAAGCATTATTAAAATGCATTCCTTCTCTGCTATAAATTGTTTTAATTTTTTTATTGTTGCAATATTCATGTCACTGTAAAGTGTCATGCTAGGTATAATTTACCCAGCTTTTAGATGTTTGTTACATTTTATGTTACAGTGTATTTATGGTTAACATTTATATCTTTCTGTGTTTCCAGGTAAAAGAATGTGACTTTGCTTCCAAGATGATATTTTGGATGAAAAACGGGTTTCCAGAGCTTGGGGATCATGGTGGCATGGGTATAGGGGCCACAACACATGCTGTCTTGTCTAACAGAGATTTCTTGACAGATCCCCATAAAGTAAATGCAGTTTGGAGATGAATCCTTTATTTTTGCTTTGTGTTCTCAGTTTCTTGTTCTTGAGTCACTTCTGTCATGACAATACTTGTAGAACAGTACAGAATACAAATGAGAGCCTGAAAACACCTGATTTATTCTGATAAATTGAAACTTGCTCAGTGGTTTTGTTTCAGGTGTACCTTAGTGAAAAAAGGAATAATACTAATTACTAACGTTCATTGTAATGAGTGTAATTGAATGAGACTGAACTGACAATGCCTTTTCATCAAGTGTCTTTAACACCCACTGATTTATAATAAGTGAAGTTGTAGAGTAGTGGACAATGGTCATTTCAGGCTGCACACCATGCATGGGAAAAGTTTAACCGCAGGGCTGCTCCTAATGGTGGAGTAATGAGGACATCAATACTGGGGATTTATCAGTTTGATAACATGGAAAAAGTTATTGAAAATACCTTGAAAATTTGCAAAGTGACTCATGCAGATCCCAGGTACATGCTGGTGTAATGAAATATATTTTAACACTATTTTATATGTTAAAATTGCATTTTAGTAGAGTATGTTATTTTTGATAGATGTGCTCATCAAAATATTTTCAGGCACTACCCTCACAGTTTGCACTGTACAGAGTACATTGTGAGATACTGTTACTGTAGCAGCAGCTTATGGTTATGTTAAAGTGTTTCAGTAATTTTTTTCCAATAATTAAAAATATCTCTTGCAATATCTCCTTAGTATTTGCAAATATAGTCTACATTTGGAATTTTGTATAAGATTTTCTGTTTCATTTGTTGTTACTTGTAATTGTCCCCAGACCTGTGCCTTTGCATTTTTTTTCATTTTAAGGTGTTTAGCATCATGTGTGGCTGTAACCACTGCAATAGCCATGATGCTACAGAGACAAGAAAAACACTTTGATGCAAAGAAAGGAAAATTTAAAATTGACACAATAATTCAAGACTCTTATACTTATGCTAAAGAACAACTCCCACCATTGAGTGAAGATGAGAGCGTTCAACAAGCTGTAAGTTGAGTGTATGTAATTTCATACAATATTTGCAGTTCTTAATAAATGCCATTGACTTCTGGCAAGTGACTTCTGGCAAATTATATTTTAATTAACTTACTACTATGTCATTTCATACAATATATATATAGAGTGCTATATTATTCAGTTTGTGTAAATTAGAAAAATTTGATTTCTGAAAACTCTTCCTGACAAATTTTATTTTTTGAAAATTCACCATTTCAGCACACAGAACTGAAGGAGCACATGTTTGCTAAAGACTTGAAAAGCCTTGTATTAGATGAGCCAGATAAGATAGGATACACCTATAAATGTCTAGGAGCTGGCTTCTGGGCACTTCAGCAAAAGGACTTTAGAAAGGCTCTCTCAAGTCTGGTGATGGAGGTAATCTTTATTGATGTTACTGTAACAGCACTAATCAGGGGTGGATCTAAAGATATTTTCTGACTGCCTTCTCCATTGTCTTCATTGATCCACCCTCTATTTTTGACTTTCTTCTGACAAAAAAATTAGATGCCTGTTGATGTAAACTCAAAAATTCTGACCGTCTTCTGGAAGACCTAAGAGTCAGCTTCTGTCCACCCCTGAATATGCCTTCATAAATTAGATAATGATTGAATTTGGGTACTTTATGAGAGCATTTACATCAAGAAGATCATTCATTGAGAGACTATTAAAGGATTACACGGTCTTCCTTTCATGTAGGTCCGCCATATTTAGGTCTCGGCCTTGCTAGACCTCGGCTCTTCTCAATGTGAATGCTTTCTGTGCAGCATGTACTAGTACATACATCAGTAGTCATGATCAGATCTCGGCATACAGAGTGGCATCCTTGCTCTAACTTTCAATTTCCATATTAAATTTTAGAGGTATCATTCACAAATATGTGTTTTTACATTACCATTTTCAAAATATACTACCTTATTTATCTGCCAATCCAGAAAAAACTATGGACTATGATACTCAGTATTGTGGATTTTAACTAAGTATGAATAACTGTATTGTAGTGATAAAAAGTACTGCAAAAACACACACACACATACACACACACACTGAAAGTCCAGTATTGTACCATTAGAGTGAACTTGTGATAGTAAATAACACATTTTGGTTTGTTTCCAGTCTAAATGTGTGACTGTGTGTGTGAGTGTGTGTATGAGCATGATCAAGTCTATATGCTCGCATATACCTGTGGAAACATAATGTTGAATTTTCTGACGCATTTCCCCACATCTTCAGGGTGGAGATGCAGACACCAATGGGGCAGTAGCAGGAGCACTCCTGGGGTGCAAACTAGGGGCAAAGGAGCTGCCAGAATCCTGGAGAGACAAACTGAAACATAAGGAATGGCTTGATAATATTATAAAGAAGTAAGATTATTTCTTGTGTATCTTACCAGTATGTTTGCACATTTATCAGTTCTGCTGACTGTACTATGGCAGTTAATAATCATTTATTATAATTACTATCATCTCTTGTAAAATTGTAGGCTTCATGGTCCTATTCCATCTTACTGTGCCATGCTCTCTGTTGTACACCAAGGATTGTGGTGTATTTGTGGTATAACAGGGAGTATACCCACAGAAAATCTGCATAAAGCTTTACTGTTCATGGTCTAGAATTAATTGTAGGTATAACATGCCTGATCACATGCATCACAGCCATGTTATCACAACCAGGTTTATCACTTTGATTTTAAAGTTTTAGATGCAATTTAATTGTAATTTTTGTTTACTTATAGGTTTCTAGAACTAATGGAACAGAGACATGATCCTGCACTCAAAGAAACTAAAGATTCTTCAGAACCTACACAGTCTGTTTAGTACCTACAGTACATGTGCTGTCTGGACCTAAGTTGTCAGAGGAGACCATGTTAATGTCCAATTTTGTCAGACTACCTATAGTTTATGTCTGTTTCAATATCATCTTCACTTGTGCAATCCTGTTACCTGATGGGTTTATGAATGGGGAAATATGAAATCAAATTAAGTCTTTCCCATTTTAAAGTTGTATGGCTCATATTAATTTGTTTATTTCATTTTCATTAATATCATTATTTATTTATTGATACAAAATGAAAATTTCAAATGGTTTATAGCAACCAAATTTGAAAAATGGGGGGGGGGGGCATTGTTGATTAAATATAATCAAACAGTCATTGCTCAATATAATCAAAACCAGCTTTTGAAACAATTACAAATGTATTGCTTAACCCTGGTTGTGCACCTGAATTACATTTTGGGACCAGTTTTTAAATTAGTAAAATATTCTTGCACTGTGCAAAATGAAAAAAATTGCATTGCTGCTAATTTGCATGCAAGAACATCTTTAGTTTGCAGGAAAATTTTATATATATTCTTGTAAATTTGTAAGAGTTGGTGGCAGGTGTGATATTTTGCTAAGGGAGATTTTATGTATTATGGAAACTGGAGGCTAGTAGTCTCATCTTCAAAAAGATGAAAACAGCAGGACATATGACAACTTGCTGTTGTTGTACAGGGTAGATAATTGAAAGGTCTAGTTAGTTTCAGTATATTGTTCTTAAAACTGTAAATGACTTGACACTTTTCATTTAGAGTAAGTTTTAGATTTTAAATTAATTGTAAGTTTTGTCAGGTATTGCGCCTATTCATTCTCTATTTATCAATGGTGCATTGATAGGGATTTTTGTGTAAATGTTTTTATTCAATTTTAAGTTTTTAAATTAGTTACTAAGTTGTAAATTTTGTGTGCAGTTATAATTTTACTATAGATAGAAATATACCTTGAAAAATAATAAAAAAATATCTGTGGTTATAGCTGTATTTCCTTTATTTTTCCTTTCCACCATCTTAATACCATGAAGTGTATGGTGTATAATAAGCAACATTTTGACGGGGTCTGAAAAAACAAATGAAATCCTTTGAGTTATTTATACATAAGATTGAGTGTCTTGTTCAACAAGACCTGCAAAGGTTCTATATTAGCACTTTAACAAAATTTTTAAAAGATCCAGTTTTCTAGCATGTTTTAAATACTTGCTTAACAGCAAATCACTTTTACATACACCAGACTAGTCTAGCAATTCATGGTTTAAAGTATTCATGTACTTTTTCAATGATGACAAAATCTGTTCTCAGTAAATAGTGTATGTGTCTGGATCTAACTGTTATGCTGTTTGTTAAAAAAGACAATTTATACATACTATCTGAACTCCATGGGAAGCGTACACTATTTCGATTTTGAAAACATTCCCCTTTCCTTTTTTGAACACCATGGTGTCTTTAAGTCATGTCACTTGCTTTGTATAAAATGAAATTGTCACCTGTGTGGCACAATTGATTGCAACTTCACTGGTCAGGAGATAAAAACGAAAGCAATATGTGAATTGTCATATTCAGCAGTCCTTCAAGCTTAAACTACTGTAACAGTAATATCACATTTAGCAGTCCTTAAAATGCTAATATCAAGGGGTTTGAATTCCAAGCCAAAAGCTACATTGCATACATAGATAATTCTTGTAAGTGTCATTTTAACAGAAAATACACTAAAATAATAAGTGCGAGGAGTAACTACACATTTTGGCTTTCTTCATCGCAAATGTGCCCATAAACTGTAGTGCAGATGCTGAGCTTACTCATGCCCCCACATTATTGAGAGAACTAAATCTAGGAATACAGACAATTTGTAAAAAGTGATAATGGTAGAAAATTATTGAAAACCTACAAAAAGTATGCTCTGCATACCACTATGTGTGAGGAAGATATTGAACAAAAACATAAATGTACTGACCCTTTAACAGATAATCACTGACAAAGGTTTGGCACCTTTATATTCAATAACTTAACAATACTCACAACCAAAAGAGCACAGGGATGATAAACAAATTTGCAGGTTCAATGGTCAAGGCTAAAAACAATATTGGAAGTGTTATTGCAATTTTGAAATGACATGGTTAAGTTAAGCCTGGTTTGATTCACCTTTCCTGCTAGGATTCTACATAAAATGAAAACATGATGTATAAAACAGAACTTTCTGAAATGCTCAACCTGAGTATCTCTGAACTCATTCTCAAGGTGACTCAGTAATTAATACATAACTATCCAGGTTTTGTATTATTAAAGGATAATAAATAGCATCATTGTCATTATCAATCTGCTAAAGTCCTTCAATATGACCTCCTCGATTAGCCACAAAGATATACAATTATTTTGTCCTTTCAAACACCATCCAATCATGCCATATACTAGCTGGGACACTGCACAAAATGAGCATATGGGCGTATTCCCAGAGCTTTTAGATCAATCTATCCCCGCAGGGAGTCTCACTAGATAACTGTCAGATAATCTGGCTTAAATGTCCGTCACGCCTACTACAAGCTGTAAGGGGGTCATTAACTTTCGTGCCCGCTCGGCTGACAGCTATTTAGCGTGAACCCCCAGGGAGTTAGGTCGATTTAAAGTAGATCGATCTAATCTCTGGGAATGGGGTCTATGTTTTGTAATTTAGTTTTGTTATAGACAAATAGATAAAATTTTCAACCAAATTAGACATCACCATCTGGCAAAAGTTATATACTCCAAACCAAATCAATTGGCTATATCAATCATTAAATGGAAATACTGCTGAAGCACAATCTGATCAGTCAGACCTACAAGTCTGGATCAAGTCGTCTGCCTTCTGACCAATCCCTGTCTGCCACAAAAATTAAATACTCTACTGAGAGCCACTGACTCAAATACTGTCTGCCTTTCATACAACAAGGCCAGTCACTAAAGATGCTCCTTTCAGACATCTGACCCTTGACCAATCACTGACCAATCACTCGATGCATTTTTCCTTAGACCATTGGCTCCCAAGCCGTCTGTCCTTCTTCCAGATCCAGGCCTGGTACTATAGAGGCCCGAGTAAGACCCCAGAACTTGCTAGGCTGCAGGTTCTTCTTTACTGCATTGAACCTCCAGCCTAGATGACTGCCACACTGGTGGCAGTTGATTATAGTCCAAGCATACCTGAAAGTCAAATAAAAAAAAAAATAATAATAATAAATTATCAAATATTATGAGAATTGTAAAACTTAAACTGATTTTCAGCAACCACTGAAAAGATTATGTTTAACATAGTGACAGTTTTAATATATTTGACACAGAAATCGTGAGTTGGGGGGCATTATCAAACATAGATATTATACCTCTTATTACTAGTATATATCTGTCTCAGTACCTACCCTGGGAACCAACTATTCTCCGTCTCAGGCCTCCCCACATGGTGAAGACCTCTGGCCCTGTACACAGTTAACGTCTCGTGAACGTAACCTCCTGGGTTCACGTACGCTGCCATGGGACCTTCGGCCGCCATCACAAACACATCTTTCTTGTCTGCTATGTGGTGCTCACAGTCCTTACACTGCAGAACTGTGCACTGGAAGGTAAGGTAGAAGAAATTATAGTCAGACAGCATGTTGCTCAAACTCTGGAGTGAGTAGTGAGAAAAGGATTATCAGCTACCAGTCAGTAAAATCTATTAATAAATGAATGTTTAATTTCTGTATTCTAATAGGATGGCCTTCAAAGTATCTGATGAGAAAAAAAGTTGTAGAATTATATACATTCCTTATTAATAAAGAGTAATTACACAAGTAATCCCTGTTTAATCAATTTTTTTAATTCACTCTCAATTTCTTCTTTTGGTCATCTTCAATGGTCAAAATGTCATCCATCATAAGTAAAATACACACAATGCAATTTGTTCTCTTTTAAAAAGGATACATTTTTTGCCATCACCACACATGCCAAAAGACAAGAAAGAACTATTTTACAAACATACCTTTTGTAAAATATTCAGTTCACTCCTGAGCCTCTGTACTGCACTGTCCTTTCTCAGTATACGGAGCCTCATCTCGTCACTAATGGGCAGGTTTCCAAGAACCCAATAGGAGAACTCGACGGGATCCTTGGGCATCTTGTCTGCCGTCAGGGTCCTGTTCCAGCTCTGCAACTCACTGCGGACTTTATGCATTAACAAATCCTGCAACAAAAATAAAATGGCATATTTCAATAAACTGAAAAAATGGGGACACTGTGCTAAGAGCTGCTGCTTGGACCTCCAACGTTTTTGCTCCCATTTAACTTGAACATAGGTTTTACTTTCAAACTGATCTCATTTTGTAAAATGTAGGATAATTCAAAAGCTTTCCTTTGGTGAGGTTTAATTCTCTATACTACTTCTAATCTAATGGACCAAGCAGCCGATCTAACTGAGGTTAATTGTAAAACTGAAAAGCAACAACTGATTTTTTTTCATGAGGACAATTTTAGTTGAGATACAATTATATTCATACTACAAAGAATTACTCACTGGATCATACAGTCTATACACCCACGGAGGCCACCAGGTCAAATATGCACAAGAATGCCTCCCTACCTAAAAATATATATATATGTCAAATCATTTTGATATAGTCTATTATTTAACAACATTTGAAATGTCAGATTTTCAGCTGATATGTCTTCTTTTATTCTTAAAATAGAGTGGGCACTGAAGCAAGAAATTACAATCATTAAAAGTAATAAATATGTCACCTTCAGAAAGCAAAACTTGCACTTCAAAGATGAAACTGTATTCTCTGCTTTTCCAAATGTCAAAAAATTTAATATGTTTAATTAAGATAATTATAATAATGCAAGTTCAACATAGTCATGCTTTTTTATCAAAGTGAATTTAAAATAGTTAATAACAGTAACTTTAAATGATAAGAAAAAAAAACTAAAACAAATATAACCTGGCTAGAAATTAAACCATTTCCCTAAGACAAAACCATTCCAGCAAGATCCCAGTTTCTGAAACACATACCTCCCTTTTCATCTTCCTCTGTGTCTGACGAGTGACAGCTTCTGGCATCCCATAATTATCATACACCTCACTGGTCTCGGAGTCCCAGAGAGTAGGACACCTGCAGAACTTTGTGTGAGATGGAGGCCTGGCTCCCTCTAGTGCCTCTGGGAGATACCTCTCTGGGAGGATACGCACCTTGGCCATGCTGATGCTACAGACAAGGGAAAAGGCAATGTTGTATTAATAAAAAAGAATGATATTTCTTATTGAATAGGCAACATTTACAAAACTTTTTGAAAATAATAAAATTGTCCCATTTGGGTGACCTAATTTTTGGCACCAAAAGATAGCAGGTACTCTCTTTCTCAGTATTCATAATGTTTTTGTTATCGTATGTTATTCTACCATTAAGTTTTAAAAGACACATACCCATCTGTTCTTCTTTGTGTCTCCTGTATCTGAAACCTCTGCCTTCCCATTGCTTTCACTCTCATAGTCCTGATGCCACTACCATCATCTAGCTCATCTTTCATGTACAGCACCTCAGCTGTGGTGCCTAGTGTAGCTAGAGTGGGCTGGAGTCGGTCTGCTGCATAACTGGAGTGAAGAGAGAATTTGCTTAATAAATATTGATTCATTGCTCTGATGTGCAGTGTTGCTTACACACACACACACACACACACACACACACACACACACACACACACACACACACACACACACACACACACACACACATTACATTAATTTTATTAAATATGATAGTTAGAAGAAGAAGAAGCAAGAGTTGGCAGTGTAAGTGCTAGTAGTATCTTTATCAAATGTCGCATAATGAATTCAATGCCCATTTGTCATACAATAGAGAAACGTCCACACCATGCTAGCCTATCACACTACCTTGAAGTGACTAGGCCAAATGTCTTATCTCCATCATGGACAATCCTTCTCATCATGGACACAGTAGATGGGTGGAACAGGTGAAGTGGCAGCATCTGACCAGGTACTAAAACCACACCTGGTAAGGTGAGAATAGGCAGGGTATGCAGACTGTCATCTTCATGAACTGTGCGACCTCTGACCTCTTCTAGGTCATTGCCAAGGTACTGAAAAACAATGACAATGAACAACTACTGTACTGTTATGGTAGATTTTGTGAAATAATAATTGTTTGTAGATCAAAAATTGTTTATGATCAAAGGACTGGAAATTGCTTGCAAATCAATTCCTGAGACTCTTTGATATATTCCAGGGATTTTCAGAAGCTGGCCACACCAAATGACCACATTGATTCACATGAGATTTGCAAGATACACATACTTAATGTGTACACATCTTGGGCCTAACCTTGGGGGCTTGCAGAATAGTAACTGGAACTGGAACAATCAAAGCAGCTCAGGTATATAATGTCAGTAATTTATCCATACCATATTTTGTAATGTATTTTAGAGTAATGTAAAATGTATCACAAAAAATTAAGAAATTAAGAAGATAAAACCCCATTTTATACAGAAATAAGTGTAATTTCTAAACTTACTGAGTGAGTTCCAGGCAGAGAAGAATCAAAATTGATATCTTCAGGTCGAGGTGGTTGTCGCTCAGGTCTCCTGTATCGCCTCCACAGACGAAACCTTCCTGACCTTGGCCTTTCTTCTTCTTGTCCTGCGTGCGCTTCAACTGCTGGTGCTACTTCTACTTGACCTTCATCACCATCTGCCTGACCTTCACCATCGGCTACATGGCCTTCACCTTCATGCCCTTCACCTTGACCTTGCTCCATTGGCTCAGTTCCTGATTCCTCACCTTCTGTGTCATTTTCTGGAAGGGCAAATTCAGATATATAAATTTAATTTATAAGCATAACAATACAAAAGAAAATGCCTAAATATTTTCAAATATGCCATCCAGTTCTAGACTTTGGATTTGTTAGAGTAAATATAACGGCAAAAAATATCCACAGCAGAATCACTCCATTCTACAGTATATACAATTTTCCATTATTACAGTACATTAATGCAAAACTGAGGATTTTGGTATTTTTATCAGATTCTAAGACAGTGACTTCAAGCACCTTGACCATTTCCTGCTTTTTTTCAGTTGAGTTCAAAATCATGAAAATAACACACCAACTCGATCAATACTACTGCAGCTAGATCAGTGTTACACATCTGTGTCTGTTATTTTCATATACCACTTTCATTTCTGCCGGTTTCTGAGTAAAATTAATATCTACCAGTTCATTTCACACCAGTATAATAATTATAAGAATGCCTTTGCGTCAAAACCAGGGTCATAACACTTGAATCCTGAGTAGCACGTAAAGACACATTTAACCTAGAACCGCCCAACTTTGAGGACCAAAAAACGCGAGCCTGTTTCACTTGTCTTGACACATGCAGCAGTAATTTGCTAGTACTCGTACATTCGCCATTTGCGTACTCCCATTCAACCATTTGCGTACTCCCAAAAGACCACATAAAATCACGCATGTTTGTTTTCAGACTAAACTGCATCATCATTGCTAACCTGAGCTGTCATTCCCATCTCCGTGGATGTTGTGACCCAGCAAAGGCAAAATATCATCCTCCATGCTTCATGTTTACCAGGGTGCATGTCGGGTATTTTGGTCATGTGACACAAATTGACCAATCAAAGGAAGCACCGTGTACTAAGCAATAACTTCCGCTTTCACAATAACTAAGTTTAAGTCGGGATCTGTCATCATCTCCGCATTTTGAAGCGATACACAGGGAAGAGAGAAAACTTCAAACAAAAGTTTTGACATATCGTAGTGAAAGGTAAGGAAAGAACCGGTCAGTGTTTTCTTTTAAAGTTTACACAATAGTTGATGTTTCTTTACCGGCTGTGATGTGATGGAATGTCTGTTTGCTACCACTAGTACAACACATGGCAACGAGGAAAAAAGACTGGCGAAATTTGTGACGACACATATTGCTGAATGTTTTTCTACTGTAATGTTAATTTTTGTAAAATTTAGAAAGAAACACAGCTTCATCTCTTTTAGAAGCCACATTTAAGTGAAAATTGAAGAAGAAAATTCAAATAATGTTTAAATCTCTTTATATATTCTATCTTGATTCCACAGGTCTTCCCCCAGCACACAGAATGCAGTGTGCCCGCTTACTGCTGCTATCAGCAGTATATACAGTCTGCCAACTGGGCTTGGTTTTGGCTGCTGCTAGGGACTATTATGAAATCCTGGGAGTGAAGAAGGGTTGCTCTGACAGAGACATCAAGAGGGCGTTCAGGAAACTAGCACTCAAATATCACCCTGATAAAGTGGGCAAGGACAAGAAGGCGGAGGCTGAGAAAAAATTTGTGGAAATTGCAAAAGGTAATTTTTATGATTCTAAAATATATTTAATTACACCTTCTGCTCCATATATTAAACACTGAAACTAGAAAATGACCCTCCACTACTGCTTTGCATACCAGTATTCTCCCTGTGAGGAATTTCTGAAATGTAAAGATTTAAATGTGACAGAGAGAGAGAGTTGGTGAATATATGTTATTAACTTTCATTTTCCTGATAGAAATGCTTCTGTAATGTCTCACATATATTCCACAGGTTACTTTTCTTGTGAAAAATACAAAACCCAACCAAGCTTCCTTTCATATTTTCTACAGGAAAAACTCAACATTTGAAACTCTAACAGTATTTATTATTCAGTGCTTGCATTTGTGCTCAAATAGAAAGGATGATAGTCTTTTTTAGTGTCTTTTCTGTTGTTTGCAGGCACTGGTATACATGTGTGCATTATTCTTACATGCTGGTTTGCTTTTAGTATAATGATGTACAGTTAATAAATTATTCATGAGTCATGAGAAGTGTGCAGCTAAAGTTATCAAGGAAATAATGAGCACCTGCACACAATAATTTTAATATATACCTGTGTAAAGTAGAATCATTGCCGGTGTGTACTAAAACTATGTACTGGTATAATTATCTTGATATTAGATGCTTAAAAAAGGAAAATTGCTTATTATGGCCATTTTTTTTTCCAAATATAAAGATGTCTTTAAAATATTTAATGTCATATACAATATTACGAGGAAAAAAATAATCCAAACGCTGCAGTAATGCTGTTTAAAACCATTTTATTTTGTGGCAAGTTGATTTTCAATTTAATTAACTACTGGTTTGTAAATAACTTAAATTTAGACTTTGTTGAAGTACTAGTATGTATTTTATGAAAATTTATTCAGCTTGGCCTTTTCAGTTGGTAATTGCAAAGTGTTGTCATGAATAACACTTTTAATGAAAGGTTACTATCAAGATAACTTCACATCATTTGAATACTAGTACATCATGGTTAGATATTATCAAAAATGTTAAAATTTGTGAAGTTTTAAGGAAATGATTTTCTGATTAAGTGCTAACAGTTGATTTGTGAGATGTAAGACTGCATGTTTTTGATAAACAAGTATAATTTTTATTTGAGGACTTTACATCTTTTCTTTTAGCCTACGAAGTGCTCTCAGATGCCGACAAGCGTAAGAAATATGACCAGTTTGGCCATGCAGCATTTGAAAACAATGGGGGAAATGGTGGCAATGGTTTCCATGGAGGATTTGACTTCAACTTTGATGACTTCTTTAAAGGATTTGATGCACATTTTCACTCACACCAAGGTGGGCACCACCACCATCACAACCAAAACGGTGGCCCCCACACTTTTAATTTCAACTTTGGTGATCATAGTGGATTCTTTGACTTTGATGACATATTTAGTGACTGGGATGACGATTTTCATCAGCAGCAGCATCAACAATTTCATCATCATCATCATCATCATCAGCATCCTCAGCATCACCACCACCACCAAGGGTTTAACGGAGGAGAGAGTATGTTTGGAAATGGTTTTGATATGTTTGACGATGATATGTTTTTTGATAATGGTCCCAGCCACCAGCACCATCATACACATACTCAGAGGACTATGCATTCACAAGGTATTAAATAATAATGGGAATGATTCACAATTGCTTGATTTTTTCCTTGTGTGAGTGTGGAACATGTAGGAGTGTGTTCTTGTGTGAAGGACACAAAATGAGAAGCCTGTTGAAGTAATTGGTTAAATGTTAACTTGCAGAACAAAACAATATTGTATAATTATTAAATCCTTGTACAATTGAAATGTAGGGAAATTTCCTTTTTTTTTTTCCAAAATGGTTGATGGAAATATGATGGAAATTGAAATTTCATCTTGGATGGTCAATAACTTTAAATAACTTAAATAATGAATTGATAATTCTTGTTAGCCTTTTTATACAGTTTTATTTATAATTATTTTATTCTCATTGTTTACAGGTGGTCAGACATGTAGAACTGTTACAAAAAGAGTGGGCAATATGGTAACAACACATACAGTTTGCTCTTAACACTGGCAGTATGGCAGAGTGGGAAATATGGTAACAACACACAGCTCTTAGCCTTGGCAGTATGGCAGAGTGGGAAATATGGTACAGAACGACACATATCGTTTGCTCTTAACCCTGGCAGTATGGCAGCTACATTAGAAAACTAGCAGTCCACCTACTTTTGCTATTTGTAGATAAAATAACCTGGGAGGACATCTAGGATTACTATTACTATTTCCATGTTTGGGTTTGACAATTTCATCTTTTCATGAGAACATTTATCGCCACACTGCAGAATTTGCTTGGATATATTTTGGTGGGGTTTTCTCCATATTGCATATTGAGGCTTTTTTAAGAGCCAGTATAGTTCCTATTTGCTTAACTGATGTTCTTAGCAAATGAAGTTGCTCAGTTGTTTGCCCAGAATGCTCATTTTATCCAGGAATGTTTTCAAATTCTGTAAATAAACAAAGAAGTTCTTAATTACTGCTCTGTAGGAACCCAATTTGAAAATACATCACTCTTGTCATCTTGTGCCTGCAATTTATCTGTGATTTCAAACTTAAATACTGTACATATAAGTATGTATAGAAGAACAAAGTTCATAAGGTTAGAGTTAGTGTTCTGCAGTTCTATAATACACAAGCACCCGGTTGTTTTCCTTTATGTTTGAGTGTTAAAGTTGGAGGGGATGGTGATCATAATTTATTATTGTTTATCTAATTTCCACTGATTCATATATATTAAATAAAATGATGAGTGCACAAAGTTAGTTTGTCTTTGAAATCATTACTAGTATTTAGTGATATTGATATTTGGACATGTTTTCACTTTTTTTTCTTGTTAAGTTGTGAATTCACTCCTTCCTGTATGTCTCTTTGCTAGAGATAATTGGTTCACAGCAGAGAGTCATTGTTTCACATTTTTATATAATAATCTGTTACTCATAATGGATTTAATTATAAATTTTAAAAAATATTGTCATGAGGAAATAAAATATTTGATGCAGGTAATTTCTTTTTAATGGTGTTGTTTAATACTAAACTTGAAGGAACTTGTTCTTTTAACTTGGGTTGTAATAATTATATACAAGCCTTATAAAAATATCTACATTTAATTTTATTGATTAGCAAGCATATTTGTTTTTCCCTATCTGTACCTTACAGATTTATTACAGAACAATGAGCCCTTTCTGAGGACTAGGAGGAAGGGCAATGTACAACTTGAAGCATAGAAATGAGCTTTCTTTTCCTTTTTTAATCATTTGAAAAAAAGGCTCTTGAGGTGTCAAATGTCATTCACAGTAGCTGGTGAACGAAAGAGAATCCTCATGCTAACTGATACAAAGACTTTCCTGGGAAAACTTATTATTAAAAATTAATTAAAAATTAGTTTTTGCATTGCGTGAATAGTACTCGTATTCAGTACTCAAATGATATATTCTACGACGCACATGAAGTCATATCTGAATGATGTATCACTACAAAAAGCGCTCATAAATTGAAATTTTATACTTACTTAGAATATCATCTGACTTGCACTATATGTGGATTCAGTGTCGCGCTTGTCTAAAATGTGCCCCAAATTTAAAACTTGAGAAATAACGTTTGCTATTTAAAATTAATCAAAATTACATGCTAGAAAATTGACATTGTAATAAGAGTAGGCTCCAAAACTGTTACTTATTTTGTATCTGCAATGCCGTTTCTAGCTTTTCCTTGATTCTCTAACTGTTATGATTCTTTGTGAAGAGCCACTTCAGCCACTTCGGCAGAGTCCAGTTAAGTGGAAGATGCAAATTCCATATACGCGGCAATTTCGAAAGCCACCTGCGTCACATTCTCATTATCGCCTTGTGAAACGAGGTTAGAATCTTCCTCACCCTGCGGAAAAGGCTTAGTTGGAGAAAGAGCATTCGATGCCACAAAATCATCCTGTGATTCCGCAACGCCGTCACCCTTGGGAACAGGCTGAGATGCAAATGAAGGGATACTGTCGTAATTGTCATTTTCCGCTGACACAGAATGCGAACCCATTTCATCTGTAATACCGAGGTGAGGCAGACCCATTTCCTCATCGCCAGAACCCTGAGACACACGGGGACACATGTTGTTAACATCAGATTCCGAAGTGAGTTTAGTGTCTATACACACTGTGTCACCCAGGGTGCTGTCGTCGTACGCACTGTTTTGAAAGGCTAATGGCGGGCGGGATTTACTGGCATTGTTTTGCGGTTGTGGGGGACAGCGGGCCTCGCCGATAGTGGCGTACCTTTCCTCTTCCTCATCGGCGCTGAGCTTTGGATTTTTGTGAGATTGCGAGGCCCTGCATAGAAGATAAACAACGTTTTTTAGAAAAAGAAAATGCAAGCTTTTGTTGAAGACTAAATAAAATAGATATGAGATTTATTTAACTGTAGAAGAGAAACTTTCATATGAAGCTTAACACATAATTTTATTATACATTTTAGCCCATTAAACAACTCCCGGAAGTGAAAAGTCTTTTTTCGATAGCGTCAGCAATATCAATATATATAATTATATGCCAATTTTAGGGTTCTATTTCAGTATATTATTAGTCTTTACTCTAAAATAATTTGATTCGTTCGGTTTGAAAGGTTAATTTTCAATAAAACATAGCCCTATTACAGCTTTTGGTACGATCGAGTAAGCATCTTATATTACATCTACTTCTATATACTTCCTTGGCTATACTATAACACCAGGTAATATATCCATTTTGCAGTACCTTTTCCTTCTGATAATGAGGGCGACAATGGTCAAGGTGGCCGATATGGTCAGCAAGCCCACTGTCAGCGGAATATACCAGTTATTGTTCAACCATTGGCTCTATGGACAAAAAGACAAGACCAATTGAAATTAAGAAGTAGTAATGTTATGTTATAGAAAAACTGCTAAATAATGCAAAGAAAATAAATAATAATAATAATAATAATTTAAAGAAAATGCATATTTTGTTCGAGCGGAATTGCAGTACCTGGTCTTCCCTAACAGCAGCGGCACGGGACCCCATTTTGGCACCATCGTCCTCGTAAGGCTGCAGTGGCGCCAGCAGTGCTGCAAGCCTAGCGGGCGTAAGGCTGGCTAATGCAGCCTTCAGTCTTGGGCACGTGACCTCCGTTGGCTTGGCAGACACGACGAACTGGAGATTCATGACGTGATAGCTGAAAAATGAAAAAAATAAAAAATAAAAAAACAATAAAAATGCTGTTTTATTTGGTGAAACTTATTATATGTGAGGAACCGATGTCAACCGATTTGTATTTTCAGTTGTATTTTGACTTTTGCAAAAAGAACATTAGGCAAAAAAGGTTTTTTAGATGTTTCAATCTGAATGTTTAAGTGCGCATTTATCTTGGAAGGCAATCTTTATTAAATATATCAAAATCGATTGTTCGAAAAATATTGCACTGAACCAATAGTAAACTTTTTACAAAAGTATTTAGACGACATTGTTTAAATAATTTCATCAAAATAAGATGCCACACCTTTGCTCTTCCGCGTGATCAACTCCTATTACAATGTTGTTAACTTTATTAAAATCCGCTCCAAGCAGGTGCTTGACCATCTTTTCCACGATTTTTCTGACCAACGTAGGTTGGTCCAGCTCCCTGCTCAGGTACACCGGTACTGTTATTTTACTACAGTTGACAAAAGGTAAATGTCCAGCTGAGGACGAAGTAGTATTGTTACTTGCACTGTCATTTGCAGAAGCTGTTGGTGACGGTGTCATAACGGTGCTTGAAAATCTCTCACTAAAAGTTTCGTTTCCCGTGGCGATTGTTGCGGGAAGACTTACAGGCAAGTATGTGGTGCTGGAATTTGCTTCTTCTCGAAGGTCATTCTCGCAGAATATCCCTGAAGTGAAACTTGCACAAATACAATGGAAAATACCGGTTTCGTTTGATGTACAAGTGGCGTTATTTTGGCACGGATGGCTGGAACACGCGTTTTCCTTCACCTGGCATCTCTCCCCGGAATAGCCTCGTTTACACAGACAACTGTATTGAGATGACGAATTCTGCAGGGATGTACACGTTCCTCCGTTCAAGCAAGTTACGTTATGGCACCCATCGCCTACCGTTTCACATAAAGTGCCTGAATAGAAGGTTAAAAGATGGGGTGACCTGCACTATTAAAGCGTGCCATCCGAATGAGTATAGGATAAATTTGTCTTAATGTTGTTATTCTAAAATTTCTGAATCACATGAAATTAAATGAAAATGTGTGTGTGTGTGTGTGTGTGCGTGTGTGGAGAGAGAGAGAGAGAGAGAGAGAGAGAGAGAGACCTACAGACCTGTATATCCGTCTGGACATATACACCTGAAACCTGAGGGCAGATTGATACATTGAGCGCCACGTGAGCACGGTTCATTCTTGCAGTCGTTCTTGATATCAACACAATTGTTTGTAGAATTTCTCCAACCTGCAAAAGAATTAAAATTATTATTTCACTGCGATAGGTCTACATAACAAACACTTAACATGCGATTAGAAGACAAATTAAAAAATTCGTTGTCAAGACCAAAAAATAATTATGCTTAAAACATAACACAAAATAGCTTTAATATCGTATCACGGTAGTGCTGCAATGCTCATGCATTCTTCAAAACCAATTTTAAAGTCACGATCGAATGATTTAATGTTTGATCGTAGAAAAATCGACCTTTCTCTATAATTCGCTACTGCCTTTATATAAAATCTTATTGATATACATTAATTTTTTCTATTTTAACTGAAACATAACCAAGCATCTGATCATACATGTATGGATACAACTCTGGGGTTCCGTCGCTATTAAAACTTCTTAACTAATATTAAGATATTGAAATTAAAATAAGCGATTGACGTCACGCAAGCACGACCACCGACACGCATGACAGGCGTTTTTCAATGTTTCAAAATTTTTTTGAAATAAATAAAAACCTACCTGGTAAGCATATCTTTTTTCCTGTCACTGGATGGCAGGTATAATGTCCCGCTGTGTCGTTACGTGGCTGACACAAGGTGGCGCAGTCAGACCCATACCAGTCCTCGTCACACGATACGTGAACTTCCACTACAAGACTAAGTACAGAATTTTTATTACAAAAAAATGGTAACTTAACTTATGACGCAAATAATCTACCTTTGTATCAAAAGCCACATTCAACCACAGTACACCCCTTAACATTCAAAAGCACAGGCCATTACAGAAACAATGTGAACCTTTGATATGCCCACCTCAAACTCTCATTTATGTGTAAAACTAGTACTATGAAACGTAAGTTGACCTTACTTTACTCTGTTTCGTAGTCTCAGTCTCGTTGCCATGCCATTCCGGTTGGGGAAGACGCTGAAGGCGTGCTTAAGGTAGTCCACGTGATCGTGATGGTTAACACCGGAGTCATCATCCCATACTTCAACTTTAAGGAACGCGCTCCCCTGAAAAGTTATTTTAAATTCCAGTTCTCGTGCCATAAGTGGCCTAAGGGAAGCATGAGAGTCAGTCACTATAGACCCAGTTTAAAAAAAACTGAGACAAGGTATAAAACAAAAAGTTTAAGGAGTTTTTTTTTTCAAAGTAATGCGAATTCTGTGTTCGATCTGCATCGTAGGGTCTATTGCATATCATTTAAACTTCACTATCATTTTTCTACTGGAATATAATATAAACTGATAAAATGAATTACATTGATCGAACTCCGAGATCATGCGTGCCATCTTACAGAGGCGAGAATGGAAATAAGAACAAAATTTGCAACGACGCACTTTTTTCCCGTATAATGATAGAAAGAAACCAATATAAAGAGGAAAATGTTTTTTTCAATGAGGCAAGAAAGGGGAAAAGGTAGGGAAGGTATATAGGCCCATAGGCAAGGGAGTTTGGGTTTTTTTACCGTAAAATAATGCCAGCTCTAAAACCAAATTGTATCTATAGGTTCTATGCACATGTAGGCGTTCAGGCAATAAGGAATACCTTTTTCCAAAATAAAGGCGCGGTCCTTCCCCTGCTTCTTTGAAAATCGTAGGCTACAAACCTGAGGTTTTATTAACTTAATTATCTTACCGGCCAAGTGTCAAACTTCAGTACTACAGGGTTCGGGACACCACCGAAGCTGCTGCCAAATGTGATGGTATTCTGGTCCATGATTGCACCAGATTCCACCTTACCGAAACCACAGCTGTTGATATTCCCAGTGAACCTGAAAATAGAGACAACTGATTAAATTAAACAAATATATATCACTGTTTTATTTTCATTTGCATTGAAGCATAAAACTCTGGGTGGTGTTTTTTTTTCATAAATCTGGAAAAAAGTATATAAATAAATATATTTCAATTGTCGTGCGTTTGTATTTGCTTTGTAAAGAAAATGTATGCCCTTTTTCGTGACAAATAAATAAACAAACAAATAAATAAATAAATAAATAAATAAATAAATAAATAACTGTGGCATACATGTATCTGTTTTTACAGAGTGAAAACGCAAAGTTGACTGCGATACAATTTCATGAATTTCAGGAATGTAGTCTATAAAATGAACAACAACAACAACAACAACAACAAAAAAGAATGGTTTGATAAAGAAGCAAAAGCTTGACACGATCCTCTTTAAATCAAAATGCTTAACCCGCTCACCCAGAACTTTTATCCACGCAGACTGTGAACATGTGGTCGCACTTAGACACACACGGAAAGTCGCAGCAATTGCCGTTTGATCCCGTCCCCTCTGTGTTGCTGAACTGCACTAGTTTGACGTACAGCTTCCCTTTCCCAAATCCCGTCTGAGAAAGAAAAATCAAATCAAAGGAGGTGATATTTTAGGGAAAATAGATATTTATCCAGATTTCTTGCAAGAAAAGTGGTTAGAGTACCATACATTTCTTCGTTCACTTGTCAGCTCTTTCTTTCTCTACTTCTTCTTATCGTTATTATTATTATTATTATTATTATTATTATTATTTGAAGTGCTCATGGAAGTGCGCATGTACTATTTTACGGACTGAAGAAAGGAGTGGGGTTTTGTTTAACAGTTGTACACGTAGTGCTACATGTAAATGTACTAGTAGAAAATTGGTGCGTGTTCAGTATCTCCAGTTTCAATCCAGAAAGGGTTTGTAAATAATGTAATTTAATTGTTTACTGTTATGACGAAAGAGAGAGAGGGGAAGGAGTGTAAGATGATCAACAGAAGACAAAATCTCTTTGCTCGTGACTTGCTCACTTATTACTGTAAAACAAAACCTTGCCACATCCAATTAACCGGCTCCTTTGTCTTACATATTGTCCCTAGCTTTGCACACTTGATAGTGAAATTCTTTTAAGTAAGCGCATGGCTGCTCATCCCTCATGTGATTTCTATGTTGGGTTTTACAGTTTAGTCATTATATGCGGAAGGGAGAGGGGGGAAGGGCAGAAGGAGAGGGGGGGAAAGAAAGTTTACATCTTGGTTTCTACGACCTAACGAAAATATTTTATCCTTCACGGCCACCACAGAAAGTTCTCTCGCCATCTTTTGGGCATTTTGTTTAACTTTCGTGTTCTTCATTGGTTGTAAAATTATCCCATAGTCATTTTTTGCTTCCAAATTTAATTCTTTTTAAAGAAAAAAAATCAAATTTCTCCTACTAACGAATCATTTCTCGACCAGTCCCCGCACTTGAATATAATGATTTGAACTATTTCCAATTGAAAAACTTAATACTAAACGAATCATTATTTATATAGACAACCACAGCCTTTCTCGCATTTCAGAAGGAAATGTCAAAATCAGGAAGGCCAAGCTTTAGGCCAAGGGGTTTTAGTAAAGACTTCATAATTTTAAAGGTCTGAATTCGTACCGAATCCCATTTTAGACATAATATCACTTTTGGACATTTTCAAACGCTAATATAGTACTTCTACGTTAGATGGTTATTCACGCCTCTGTTTCGATGCAACGAATTTAACTAAACGCATTAAATGATTGTTTTAGGGTTTGTTTCTTCATAAGTCTCAGCCAACGATTGATAATTGCCAGGTACTATAATCCACTTCACCTATTCTACAACGTCTGTCGGTGCGTCTAAACTATAAATCCATTACGAGTTCAGTTTACCTGTTGTTTATTTTTAGGTTTGTTTTGATAAGAAAAAGGCCTTACCTTCAGAACAGAAGCTTGAATTAACAGAAGACAAAACAGCCGCGTAGTGTTCTTCATCTTGAAGTGTCCAGAAATACTGCAGTCACGCGAGCATCAGGCATGCTTATATGTACGTACTGGGTATTATCGTTGGGGTCAAGGGTTCTACCAGCTCAACTGAATAATATTCACGAGGGTTTAGGCTTAACAGACAGAAATACTAGAATAGTCCTCACTTAAACGAGGGTCTGGTGGTATGCGTCAGTCTGAAATGTTAATCATCGTTAAACTTCAATTATTTCTAATTTATCTAATTCCAAAACGGGTCTTGGAGGGTGGGAGGTAATTATGTTACGTCACACACACGCGCGCGCGCGCACGCGCATATACATGTATGTAGGCCTAGGCCTATTCTGCCTATTTGACGACCGCATTTATCAGCATTTCCATTTGCCCTCCTCCACTGCATTTATTCGATCTTTACATATTTTCAAAGGCATAATGATAACACATATAGGATGACATATGAAGTGAGCAGAGTTTTCGTTGAATAATAATTTATTTCTCACAAGAAATTAATATTGGAAACTTGATAAGGGTTAGTTCCAGTTACCTACATGTACAGCTAAATAATCCCTCATACTCAGTTGCCCCTCTTAATACATTGTAATGACACATCATATTCTATGGCCATGAAAAATACTGGCAGATCTGAGATGGGGAAGGGAAACAGTGCCTAGTGCCTGCACACATTTAATTGTATTCCAGTGTGTGGTCAAAATTCTCCTCGTTTGCCGTTTCCCATAGAAAAATATTGCATTAGCCAAACATACATATGATATATACAAGCAATAAGTTTACGTTTTTTTTTTTTTTCAAAACCCATATGCAGCTTATACATAGATTTTTAAATGGGAAAAGAATTAAATGAGTGGATCGAGTGTATAAATGAGTGTCAGAGTGAATGTAAAGGTTGATATTTGGGATGAATTAATTATTACGCAATTGAGAGAATTAGCTGAAAAGATTAAAGAAACAGATTTTCTATGGGGCGAAACTAAGTGCCAAATTATGTAGACCGTCTGTATGAACGTGCTCTCCTAAAAAAGGAGATTCGTTTACATTGTGTTTTCGAATCCGAAGCATGTGCGTCAGCTTGAATACTGTCCATGCAGTCACTTTCTGCGGTTTCTTGTGTTAATGAGGGCTAGAAAATTAAAACCCTTACCCCAGCTGGAATTCAGTTGTACACGCTTTTTTACTGAAAATGGCAAAGAAGGCAGACAGTGACGCAGAACTCGAGGAGCTGCGAAGACACGTCGTTGGTGACATGACCACATCAACCCCAGAAGTCGCTGATCAGCATGTCCGCTCAAAAGCTCCTTATGTCAACCCAGTTTTTTTTAATGTCACCAAAACTTGGGCCCCCGCTACCGTAATGATCTGGACCTCGTGGCATCGACGATGTGAGAAAGAAATCGTTCGATGTGTTCGAGAAGGTATTGTGCCCATATACTAGTAGACTAGTAGTGGTAGTGGTAATAGTAGTGTTGGTGCTGGTGGTAGGGGTGGGGGTGGTAGTAGTAGTGGTAGAAGTAGTAGTAATGGTGTTAGTAGTGGTGGCGGTAGGGGTGGTGGTGGTGGTAGTAGTAGTAGTGGTATAGTAGTAGCAGCAGAAGCAGCAGTAATAGTAGTAGTAATATTAGTAGTAGTACACATGTATTGTTGGATTGGCAACATTTATTTGTTAGGTACTAGTACCTTGATCCATTGGTGAAACAGAACTGCATGTTTTACGCTACAAGTAAGCAGATTTTTTTCGGAGGAACTTTACCAATTTTGATGTCAGTTTATTACTTTCACATTTTTTTCATAAAATAGTTTGCAGAGTCACATAAATTTGTAAAAGAATTCAGACAGATATGATTACATTTTCCCCTAGATCCTTTGATCAAGACAGTGTTGACTGCAATGGAAAAGAAAGGATGGTAAGCAATTACTGTAGACCAACATATTATATCATAAATTATGATTTTTATAGAGAAAGTGTTTGTTTTAATTGGCAGTAAATGAATATAGCAGAAGTGTCTTGTAATGATACTGGTGAGTTTAATTGATTTTATAATTTCAGGCCCATAGCCAACAATTTCCAAAGGAGGTTCTTTTTTGGAAAAAGTGGACCTATTACCATGAAACCTGCACCTAGTTAAAATTTTGCCCAGAGAAGACCTTTTCCTGGCAAAAAAGGGGGTTCGTTCGACACAACCCCCCCCCCCCCCCCCCCCCCGGCTACGGGCCTGAATTTAACATCTACCTCAGATGGTACCAGTATTATAGTATTATGAAGAATAATATACTATGTTTTTGTTACAAACTACTGTAACATAACATGGTTTCCTTAAACTACATGTACGTACTGGGTACTGCATGCTATATGGATAATGATTTTATGATTTGCAACGGACTTTAAAAATAAACTAATGTTTTCTGTTTCAGCCCAGTTGATTTGTTGAGACATGTGGTATGTGAAAACTGTCATTACCCAGGCATACTGACAAGAGATTATGGATTCTTTGATAGAGAAATAAACCAGGTATAATAATAATAATAATAATGATCTTTAACACCAAGTCAGAATTGATGTAACATAAGCCAGGTAGTAAGCAAGTTCATATGACATTCATATTGATCAGCAGTTGATCTTCTTTTGATGGTGCATGTAAACAATAAAGGTGTTCTTCATATGTGAATGCACCGTGTCAGATTTATTTATTTACATTATTTTTTTCCTTAAAACTTAAATTCATCTTGTAGATTTATCTGTGTGCCAATCAAGTGCAGAATAAGCAAATACGCCATGTTTTCCTTCGGGAGCTGATAGTCGCATATGACCACTGTCGCGCTAAGATAGATGTCACTAGTGTCACTCAGGAAGCATGCACAGAGGTAATTTTGTGTGTTTATGGTAATTACTTGATAAATTCGAAAAGTATGAATTGATTATTTTCCAGCAAAATATGTTTGTTTGTTATTCTAAAAATTGTTGATTAAAAAGTTTTGGGGTGTTATTTGGCGTCTTGATCGAATGTACAAGTACACTTTTAGTCTGTTGCCCTTGGTAATTTGAGCTACCTCAGTCTTGTTGAAAATGGAAAATTTTGGTGCAAATCAGTATTTAAGTTATTAGAACTCCACTGACATGAGGACAATGGCACAAAAATTAAATAATATCACAACTGTTATTCCACTCCAGGTACGTGCTGCCAATCTCTCTGGAGAATGCACAAGTCTGCGGAAGATGTGGAAGTCTTATCCTCTCACCACACTAGGGAAGATAAACGGAATGCACAAGGTAGAAGGAATACATGGACTGTATTCAAGATATTTTTGGACACATCTTAAGTTTTAATGATAATTGGCATGAAACCAAAACACTTCCTATGTTTTTTAACAATGACATTGTATTTATCCCCTATTATGTGCACATGATAAAATGTATATACTAAGACATGTTCCTGTACTGTATGTATGTATGTATGTATGTACGTATGTATGTACGGTATGTATGTACAGTACTACCCTGTACATGTATCTGATGCACTGTATGTACAATGTAGGTATGTAAATTTGTGCAAGTTTATATACATGTAGTTTTATATATTTTTTGTTTGAATTTACAGGAATGTGTCAGAAAGAGGGCAGTAGATGCTTTACAGAAATCTTTCTCAGGCAAACCCAGACGTGAGCTAAGGGCGGCTGTAGACCAGGTATTTGAGAGGTGTTATAATGACCTTGACCCCCTAGGCAGACGACCCAGGAGAGGATCGGCAGCAGACGCCGCCAATGCTTACACGGACAGTCAGTTCATGAACCACTGACATCGGTTGTGGTTTTAGTCTTTGTGGAAATTGAAAATAATTATTTTTTATTTTTTTCCTTTACAACTTGTGTATGGCATTTCAAATTATGAAGATTTATTACAAGATAATGGCTACATGTAAGATCATTTGAGCTTAGAAAATTTTAATTGACAATGTCGCTTTTTCAATTTATTGAGCTTTACTAGTGGATCATTATTGAGGTTATATTTCCTGTTGTTCGTTTGACATAGATTTAATATGTTATACAGTATCTTAGTACATGTAAATTTTATATAACACACTAAATTCAATTTTTATGTGAAAATGTGCATTTCCTAATGCTGTTTTGGTGCATTATCACTTTAAATTATTCAAATATGTGAATAAATACCTGATATTAGACCATATTTGTTTTAAATTATTTTATCCGGTTGTGACACGTATGTATTATCTACCAGGGTCCTTCCAGCTGTTATAAAACATTATGCAAGTCTTTTATACTATTTCGTAACAGCTAGAAAACATCTGGTAGGTAGTAAGAATCCTGCACGTCCAAGCATCTTGTGTTGAAGTCTCCAGTGCTCATCCAGATTTATATAAGTCCTTTTATATTTCTTACTTTAATCTGCTGTTTTGTAGAATGGAAACTCATTTGATTGTAGATCAGTTTAATCCATACAGACAGACAGACGGAGTTTTTAATTGAAGAGTTGTAGAATTATATTTTGCAGGCAATATTACAGAAAATCAGTTGCTCTACAAAATGACTACATGTAGCGCATGTTATCGGTATTTATCATTTGTTTTACACTGCACACATAAATTGACCCCTTTAAATTCCTTGAATTTGGAAACGCGATCAAGAAAAATAGAGCAGTAACTTGGTGCGCAAAATTTGAAGGGAATCTACACATTTTGAAAATGTTTATGTGGATACATATACCAATAATTTGTCATTCGAATAGGTTTGTATGACGCCACCGAAAAATATAGAATATATGCTATTTTACGAACCTCCAACCTACCGAAAATAAGTGTTGTAAGTAGGCGTTATAATTCAAGTGTTTACGGTACGTGTATGTGCTACCAGTGCATGTGTAGCCTAGTGTCGATCAGAGTCTTGACAGTGTTTTCGTAGGAAGTTCTTCCTCACCGGTATTTATGGCAATATTAATCCCATTTATACACGGTGGGTAGAAAATTATTATGTCTTTTGTGTTCAGCTGCTGTTAAACATGAACTTGTGACCTCTTAAAAGAGACTTTAAAGGGGTCGCAATCGGCAAAGAAAAGATATTGACCGTATTTCAATAAAATGTGAGGAATACATCGCGAATATTCATAACAATCCTGGCAAATTTTGCTAATCCAGCTGAACAAAGATGATCAAGGCTCCGATTTCTCTCACCGCATGCATAGTTTGCCCAGAGAGATTTGTTGTGACTGTTCAATCGACCAGCGTGTGTGTGCTTAGCTTTTAAAGGGATTCATTATTTCTTGGAAGATCAATCAAATCCAGTCGAGCCTAACACCCCATTCTCATAGATTAGATCGACCTACATTGGATCGACCTAACTCCCTGGGGGTTCACGCTAAATAGCTGTCAGCCGGGCGGACACGAAAGTTAATTACCCCTTAAAGCTTGTAGTAGGCGGGGACGGACACTTAAGGGGGATTATCTGACAGTAATCTAGTGAGACTCCCCGCAGTGATAGATCGATCTAAAAGTTGTGAGAACAGAGCCTAAGCAGCTGTGTGCACGCTACACAAAATTCTTGTGCTATTCGGTGCCTGGTGAGCACTCGCAACGGTGTCCTTGGGTTTATCACACACACATACATGTAGCTGTGGGAGTTAACAGGATATGATGCGGAACTGCGTTTTCCAGAGTTCACCCGTGTCCCTCAGCACGGTCCTTGGTGCCTTCGTGTTTCTAGCTACCACAGGAGTTCTCGGGCTTACCAAGGAAACCAAAGATCATGACCTAGAATTCATAGTAAGTTGTGCGAAGCCTGTCATCGAACAAGCATAGTGAGATTAGCAATAGATACATGTAGTATGTAGTAAAATTCTGGATGTTCCAGTAAAGAATAGAATGGATTTGCTTCAATTGTCAAATTAGGGAGCAAAGGACATTAAAAAACATATTGAGAGCAGTCATTGCACATTGCATTATGATATGCCGCTTTGAGCATTGTGCCTGGTTGGTTGCAGTGATTTAAGTCGAAGAATTAATTTTTGTATTTAGTAAACTCCTGTTTAGCTCCAGCTAAACCCATCCAGATGATAAACCATAGTACCTTTACTTTATTTCTGTTTCGAGATCAGAAATCGTTGTGTATGGTCCGTGTTTCAGAGAAACCCAATGATCTCAGTTTGTCGAAGATACTCTGTCTGCGCGATTTATTCTCTCCAGCCCTCCAGGCCCCCTCCCCCACCCTGCAAGCTTTTTCTTGACTCTGATCCCCAGGCTGATCAAATAATACCCGCGCCAAGCCACTAAGGCATTATTTGTGCACTTTACTATCGATCAGTCATGTACGATACTTATTCATAATTTCTCGAGCACTCCGTTTGTGGAAATCTTGACGTATATTGATAGCTGCTCTCAACGTGGACACATCCAAAAAGAGTTCTCTTCTGCGATGTATTCACTGGCTACCTCAAGGCGTTATAATTAGGGCCCTGTGACTTGTGCAGACAGAATACATATTTCTCTTAAAATCCAATGCATTATTTCATAGACAATATTACAAAATTTTGTCCATGACTATTTTAAATGAAAGCCTTGGATCTCCACAGATTAGTTAAAAAAGGATATAAAAGGTTTTTAAATAAGATCGCAATTTTGTCAGTGTTTTTGTATATGGTATGCCTTTACTTTGGTGATGAAGAAAAAAGTGTGGAAAAATTCAGAAGATTGATATTTTGCTACATAAAAACCTAACGCGCAGTGCGTGACTGCAGCTTTTGTCAGCGCAGTGATATGAACATAGATGTAATCTGCTTGGTTGTGACACGGTGCCTCAATAACAGCTCATTTAATGGTTGTCTGTCACAAACGCGTTAATGAATATTGGAAGAAATGATTTAAGCCACGGAGGAAGACTTCATTATAGGACTGGCGCGATCGAATCGATTTTATATGAAGTACAACCTGTGGTATTCGAAAGCAGATTAGTGTAACACTCAAAGTAAAGCAGCTGACAGCCCTTTCTTGTCAAACTAATCGAATTGTTAAAAAAACTCTAGTTTGCAGCAATGCTTACAGGCATTAAAAAAAACCTGTAAAAATTGAGCAAAATTCCTTTAATCGGCAAAAGATGCTGTATTGAAAATTGAAATTAAATTGCCAACAATTTTGTATAAATTTCATGGTGATTTAGTAAAAAGTCATGAAATGTCGAAGAAAATTATTATAAATTTACTGTAATTATGATTGTTTTTTTTTTTTTTTTAAATTTATTTATCTATTTATCCTTTTTTGCTTAGTAAAAACTACTAAAGGCTTAAATCACATCATGACTTTGTATGCTACCTTATCTCACCAGGCACAGTTGATAGCTAAACGCAATGCGGACAGCCTTTACCTGGAGAAACTCGAGGGTGAACCCAACAGGATCAGGCGGGCTCCCAGAAGCGTGGACGACGACGGTTTTCCTTCGTACTTTGATTCCAGATACGACGTACAGTTTCCGTCGAAGTTCTACCTAGAAAGACGGGCCAAGCGCTCTGCACAATCCACCCGCCGGCGCAACTACGTATCAAAAAGGGCAAAGGTTAACCAGATTAAGGGCTCACTCCGAGAAAAGATGGGGGCTAAGCGAGCAAAACATTCGCCAGAAAACAATTCAGAGAGGGAACTTACTAGACTTAAGAGAATTGAGATTGTTGACCATAAACTGGCGAAACAAGAAAACGATCTGTATAATAGCCCAAACAGCAAAGCTGAGGAAGATTTGATGAGAATAAAGCGCACACGACGCGACTCAGAAGTCGATCGAAAGGTCAGATCTGTAGAAGCGCCTTTAAAGGAAGATGATTTGATTCGAGTCAAACGCAAGGGAGCATTTGATGAAGACAGCGAAGCCAAAGACCTTCTCAGAGTTAAACGCACTGAGGTTAACTAGAAAAACAGGGTGCAAGCCTGGACTCAGGACTTGGTGAGACTCCAGCGGAAAAAAGGCACTCGTCTGATTGAGAAATTAATAAATTATTTTTAGAAAAGAAGCGGAAATTGTTCCAGAAAAGAACCACCATATCTGTTAATTCATGGTCAATGATCGAGGCCCGGGAAAAACATGCTGTACTCGTATGTTCCAGTTCTTTGTTTTTTCTTCGTTTTATCAATAGTATTTGGCTTTGAGATAAAAAAACGTTTATCTCCAAATCAAGTCATGTTGCTCTACTTGCCGTACACGATTTGAACGCACTCTCACTCACTCACGCACTACCACACGCCCACAGACATGCTTTCATTAAAGAAAAAAGCATAATATCATTTATCTTAAAAATATCCTAAAATGTGGCCTATGACCAACAGACTGTGATGATATAAGATGTGTATGTTTAAAAGCTGCGTATCAGGGGATTATTTCAGGACTTTCTTCAAAGGATGGTATTGGAAAACAAAATCACTGGTTAAAGAGACGCTTTTGTGGTAAAAAAATACTATGAAGGATACTTACATCATCATATTAGCTGACTTAATAAGTAATATGACAATAAACATTCTACATGAGAGAACATTAAAAATATATTTGGGTACTTGTTCTATCTGCAAACCTTTAATTTGTTTGTAAATAAAATCGACTGTGGATATTTAGAAGTTGTGTATGTACTTTAACGTAATTTTTTTTTCTATACGGGACTGAAAACTCTCACGTTTGATATAAATAGACACAAGATTTATCCACTTTATACAATTGTGTTTGATAAGTCTCAATATTTCGAAGCTAGCTATTGTACTATTATAGAGACCACCTAGGGAAGGCCATTGCAGTAGTTGAGACAGGTGTCAACACAATGGCAATGATCAGAGATCGCAACAATCAAGAATCAGAATACAATTTAGTGACTTCATTAGTCGCAAAATTTCTTTGAGAAGAAATTCATATAAGAAAATGATCAATTGTGCTTAAAATCTAGCGTGTTTCGCCGTGACCATAGTTCGCGTGTTTTCATGGCTCTACTCGTACTCTATAACAAGGATTTCATGTCGTCGGTTTGAAAGCAAGAAAACCAAAAAATTGTTAGTATTAAAATATGGATGGCGCATCCGACAGTCAATACCGTATAAATATTTGTTGATAGTGGCTAAAGTTAAGATCAATCTTACTTCACTTTCAAGCACTTCACCACACTATTACTTCACTTCTCGTGTTTCGCAATCTGTTTGAATATCCCCAGTAAGTGCCTAAGTCACTGTAAACAATCTGCTCAGATTTTACCCGGCGAGTGTTTGGATTATCAAAGATTATTCAAGTAAATGACTTTCACGCCTTTTTTAGCGTCAGGTTACGCTTGATGTACGCGTTTTACACCAAGCACACGCTTTGAATTGGGGCTTGAGTAGAGCGATACAGCATTGATTCGAATGTGATACTCATATTCTAAGAGTCATTGCTTTAATGTGCTACTTCGTGTCTATCCTCGATCATACTAGGACTGCAAAGTAAAGATTTGGACTTGATTTGCCCCTGTGAAAAGTTGCCCAGCTGTTTGTTTCCTTTACTCTAGAGATGGCAAGGTAAAAAAAGGCTCAATACTATAACTCAAAATCAAGGGTAATTTTCTGCTAGCCATCCCCGGTTGAGTGTGTGTCTTATCTAAAAGCAAAATTTAATCGAACGGGATTAATTCTTTACTCTGGTGTGTTCTTGCACATTGTATTCCTAAAGCAGTGTATCTTGACTGTCCCTGTTGTTGGACAATTGATCGAATATCGGATTTTACGTGAAAAATAGTTTTTTATACTCGTATTTCTTTCTAAGAGGGATGTTTTCCTTCTGAAGAATTATTGACGGATATGAAAATCTCTTAGAAGACGAAACAAAAGGATATCAAGACAGCCGTTATATCAATGTTATACGTCGGACCCGTTTTTAGACGTAGATTATTCAATATTGGAGGAATTGTTTCTACTTTCGGGTTCTTATTTCGGATCCCTACGTGAGGGCACTTCTGATATCAAATCAATACTGAGGCTGATATTTGTTAGTGCCCACAAATAGCGTCCTCCATTAATATATATTACCAAAAAGTTATAATTTCCTGATATTACATATTCACTACCCGTGTTCCCTTTACTTGCTTGGATCACCTTGAAAAAATGGGTCTGATATGGAATACATCAAACAGATAATAGTTTATGATTAATTTATTTTGGTGTCTGATTATAGACGAGATAAATGGCAGAAAATGAGCAGTTCACTTACAAAGCGAGCACCTTTTTTTATAACAAAGACCGAAATCGTTAAAGAGTGTAGAATAACATTGGCAAATAATGAACGCTCATAAAAATAGACAGGGCAAATAAACAGAACGTCGAGTACGTATATGCTGTGTATTTGAAAACCTCAACAATTTTGTCAATTTGTACTTGGACAAATAATGCGAATTATTTGTCCACGGTGTGTATAAGTTTCCCTCCCGTCACGTTAAATATTCCTCCCTGGGATATTTTTGATTGGATTTCCACGCCAAGCAATTATGTCGAATTGATCTATTCATACTTAGCATTGTTTGTATAAATTCAGCACCGCATTCAATGGACACTCGCCGTGAATAGATCGCTAGTTAGCTCTATTTGTTTCTCATTAATTATGCATTTGTCGCGAGGCATTGGAAACCACTTGAGCCCGCGTACGGCGTTCACAACACGCGCCGCGTGCCTGTAGCACGTTTCCAGAAAACATATCCTTGACAGCGGTTGACGTGAACCGTGCACGAGTCTTAGGACGCTCTTTTGTCTCGGTCATAATTGTCACAGGGATGGTACATCACGTGCGAATATTGGTCATTAAACAGTAGACGGGAACTTACTTTGAAAAGGGCTACTGTAAATCTGATTGTTGAAGTTCTGAGTAACTTTAATTCGTCTTGACAGTAATACACGGCACAAAAATCAAGGTATGTACAATGTAATGGAATACGAACTTGTTTGTTTTGAAGTGAAATCAGTTGAAATGAGTTTTAGAAATTGAGGCATACACTAGTGTATTTGCGAGATATAAACCAGAAAACATTCAATCAAATATACCGATTTTTAAATTGGAATATTTCTATAGATAAAATGCACTTGGATTCATCACACCGAAACTATTCTAATATTTAATTGATTATATATACTGACTATAATGTTAAAGATACGTATTTTTAGGAGTTTACTTATATATCGGGACACACGTTAAGTTAGTCTTAATCTATAAACCAAAACTGACAGTATATTTTAACCTCGAATCAATTAGTGACCATACGTCAGACCTGTATTAGAAAAGGTAGAAGAGTGTTAAATATCCTAAACATTTTTATATTTCACTTAATTGTTTCATATTTATCTTGGATCAAAGTAAACATGTGTTTGATCTTACAGTGAAGCCTTATCCTCTACCCCGACCACAGATTGATGTTTCACTATAGTACACAGATATATGTCTCTGGCTATTTTTTTACACTTTTTTCTACTTCCTTTGTGTGGAATTGATGTCATAACTCCGTTAACCTCTAGTATAGAGAACGTAGTGATGACGTACGTTGGCCCTATTACTAAAAAAAAAAAAAACTGAAAAATAGACTTTTTAAGGGGTTCGACGTGCTGCCTTCTCTTGAACGCCCCCCTTCCCCGATCTTTTTGTTTTAAAATACTAGTTATAATCATTAAGACACAAACACTGCATTGGTGTAAACATGGTACTATTGGTAATGTCATTAGACTTGCAATATATTTGTAAATATCTGTTAAGGTTCATGTTCAATTCTAGTATGAGTTCTAGTGATTCTGAGCCAGAAGAGGAAGAGCAGGAGCCAGCGATAGATTACTCCACTTTAAGAGAGGAATTTTTGACCGCTGTTCGGAAGAACGACAAAATGAAGGTCAAATTTACAATACGAGATCATGCAAAAGGGATAAAAGGTGGGCTAGAAAAATGAACACTAGCAAAGATTTTCGTGTACATGTACAAGTACATGTAATTTACATTACTATATACACGACTATTTTGTCGTATATTTTGAGTGTAAATTTCTTCCATAATAGAGATAATGCTCATCCCACGTACTACTTACAAAATGCACAAAACACTTTTCCCGTGCAAATTTTTAGAATAACTTCACTATTCAATTTCTATTGGATTTGTCGTTTCTTGGTCACTGACTCCATGTCAATGAGAAAACTTCCGGCAATATGACGCACTTGTCTATAGTCTAACTGACATCTAATGTCCCCCACATGTCACCTGTTAACACCGAAAAAAGACTTCTTTTATAAAAGATCACTGGGTTAATGTTGCTAGGTAATTAAGCTAGCCCCCTATTTCGCAAAATCGATGGTTGCACTGTTCAGGAATAATTAGGTAATATTATGATAAATTTTCGGCCATCTAAAGAAATCAATAGTTATTGATCTTTCATTCATTAACTTCTAATTTGTTACATATAACCGGACTTCATGCGATTTTTGATCTCGAAATAGTAAAACAAATGATGTTTGGAGGCGATGTTAGTGATTCTTTCTCTCAAGCGATGGCGCCACAGGCTGTGTCGTTCACAGACACTTACGGCCTTGAATATGAATCTAGCACTAAACAAATCAAATTATAGAAACGCAAACAAGTTCAAGAGGTCATTACGATTATTTTGTCATGAGATGGGATAGCGTTCCTTAATAGCAAATATCAGCATTTCATTTTTTTGTTTCTTTATCTATAAGTTTAGATATATTTTTTAAGTTATGATCAGTTTAATGTTAAGTTCTGCCGGTAATCATAGCGCCTATGTATTTGCTGTTTCAGAGATAGCAGGCGGTGTGGGAGAGGATGGCTCTTGCGCCATGACCAAGGCAGCCTTCATGGGGTACGCCCCTATCATCCAGATGATGGTGAACGCCGGAGCTCCTGTAGACGCCGCTGACAAAGATCAATGGACAGCCCTGATGGCGGCATCCCAGAACGGGAAGTTGGAGGTAATCTGTCAATATTGATTGTATTGTCGAAAGTAGCGACGCCATCCAGGCTTAAAAACTGAAAATAATGGGAACCGTGACGGTGACCGTTTACTCACAATGCTGGATGAATTGACAGTCATTTTCACACGGGTTTTAGATACTTCAGTTCTGTTCTAATGGGTTTTAGTTTCATGCATCGTTTGTTCTATTCTAAAAGACAAAAAATAAAAGAGCAGGGCGATTTATGATGTATTTGGAACCAACAGTCCGCCTCACTTCCCCTTACCCTCTCTCCTTTTCTTTCACTGGTTAGGCTACAGAAGACCCTCTTGAATTCATTAACTAAGTATGGATGGCAGCCATCTCCTCACAAAATCACGAATGCATCACGCAACATTTATTTCAATAAATTAATACAAACATGTTATTCCTTAGGTGGTTGAGTTTTTGCTAGAAAACGGCGCAAATGTCAACTGGCAAGACAAGAAGAAGTGGACAGCGCTGCAAGTGGCTGCATATAACGGCCATGAGAAGGTTGCGGAGAAATTATTAGACGCCGGAGCTGAAATCAACGCTGAGAACAAGAAGAAACAATCTGCGCTCCTCATGGCTACTAAGAACGGCCACGAAGATGTCGCCAGCCTTCTCGTTGCCCGCGGGGCAGAGACGGACGTCAGCGTCAACGGCAAGTCGGCGCTGTTTTCGGCCGTTGAAAAGGGCAAGAAGAAAATCGTCAAATCGCTTTGTGAGAGTGGGGCCACGCCAGAACCGGAACACGAAGGGGTGACCGCACTTTACGTTGCTGTGGAGCACTCTTACAGAGAGATAGTGGAAACTCTCTGCCACCACGGCGCCAAGCCTAACAATGCGCATAAAAATGGGAAATCTGCCCTTTACCTTGCGGTAGAAAACGGCAAAGAAAAAATTGTCAAAACACTCTGCGAACACGGAGCAGAGACCAACACTTCCATGCGAAATAAAGCTGCGCTCTTCCTCGCTGTAGAAATGGGAGAGAATGAAATAGTTAAGACCCTCCTCAAACACGGGGCAAAGCCCAACGTTGACTTTAAGGGCAAATCGGCTCTTTTCCTCGCTGTGGAGAAAAACGAGAAAGACATGGTCAAAGAACTGCTTGGGAAAAAGGCCAACCCTAACACAGAATTTGAAGGGAAGTACCCACTACATGTAGCCGCCGAAACCGCATGTGTGCCCATAGTGCGAAAGCTCCTGCTGGACGGAGCCAAACCAGATGCCATAACCAAAGCCAACAGCGAAACTGCCACACACATAGCAACGCGACTTGGGGACAAGGAAAAACTCAAGATAATGCTAACTAACGGAGCCAATCCTAACATCCTTGATGGCAAAGGTAAAACAGCCTTACACGTGGCAACAGAACTGCGTGATCTGGATGCAATGACACTGCTTCTGAAACACAAGGCAAGTCCCAATGCCAAAGACAGCAAGGACGGTACCGCGATCCATGTAGCAGCCTCGCTCCAGTTCTTAGACTGCGTAGAGTTGTTGCTTTCCAAGGGAGCAAAACCCAATCTCATAAGGAAAGGACAGATGGCGCTGCATATAGCCGTAGAGTTAGGCAATCTTGAGATGGCAAAGCTTCTTATGGCCAGAGGTGCAAGCGTGGACGGACATGGGGATAGCGGCACAACTCCTCTCATTATCGCTTCCTCTCGTGGGGACATTCCCATAGTGAAACTTCTTCTTGAAGGGTTTGCCGAGATTAACAAGCAGAACACTGCCGGAACAAGCCCGCTCCATGCTGCATGCGCATCTGAAAGTCCAAACAGATATGAAGTTGTTGATATCCTTCTAAACGCGGGGGCAAACGTTCATGCGAAATCCAAAAAGGGAACACCTTTGAAGATCGCTTTGAACAGGCGTGATCTTAAGTTGGTTCTCATACTGATCGACGCTGGGGCCAATGTTAATACTAAATCAGACCAAGGTCTTGTCGCCCTGAAAATGACACTTGAAAAAGATATGGATGAGCAGTCACTAAATTTAATTTGCGCTGGTACCCAGTTAGCCGACCTGGTGATTAAGAAGGATCTCCTGTACCAGTCCCTTTTCCGCGCTGTGAAAGCCAACTTGGTCGAGGTTGTCAAAGAGGTGTTAAGTATACCCAAGGGCATCGACGTCAATACCCAGGATGAGAACGGTTGGGGCCCATTGCATCACGCCTGTGATCTTGGCTACCTGAAAATGGTGAAATATCTGGTCACAACTAAAGCAAACGTGCACCTGGCCGATCCGGAATATAGAACACCGCTGTATGTTGCTGCCAGAAGTGGGCATGCCGCTGTGATCAGCACACTGCTGGCCTACGGAGCGAGCATCGATGTCAGAGAAAAAGATACGAGGAGAACACCCCTCCACGCCTGTGGCATGAACGGCCACTCTGACGCTGCCCTCGTTCTGATTCGCGCCGGCGCCAAAATCAACGCCTACCGTGTGGATGACTATACACCGCTCCACGAAGCGTGCGCCAATGGTCATAAGCAATGTGCTATCACCCTGATAAGCAATGGCTCGCAGCCGTATTTTAAGACTACTGCAGGGTTGACTCCTCTTCAGGTGGCGACTGAAGCGGGACACAAGGACATGGCTTGGGCAATTATGGCCCATAACTCAAAATTAACGGAGAAGGCCTCAACCCGTCGCCCCAGTGGGAACTCTCTTTTGTCCCTGACTAAGCAACCAAATAAGATTATCGGGATGCTAAAAGCTGCAAAGAATGCGGAGGAAGGTGGAGGCCAGCAGACAAAAGCCGATTCATTGCTAGAAAAAGAACCCTCCCAATCCTCTGGGTGAGGGGTTGAAATGAATGTTTTTCCACAACTTCTTGGGTTCTGAAATGAGTCCAGTTGTAAATACGTATAAACGGACACAATTCTTAGACATTTGTGGTTGAGTTCTGACAACTTACTCCAAAAAGCTTTGCATAGATGTTATACATCATGGTGAACGGATGCTATGTTTGAAGAAATTAGGGAGAAGGGAGTCAGGAAGACTTTTTTTTTTCATATTTTATCACCCATTAGGTGCATGTTTCATAGACACACATGTAGCTTCCAGTAGGTATTGACGTGATGTACTAATAGACATTTAATGAAGACACTTCCGAATCCTCAGGATGAATGGCTATAAACCTAATTTTAGTTCTAGGATCCATAATGATCCTAGTTTATAGTATTTTTTGGACAATTTCAGCTTCCGCATCTTGGCTAATTTTGATAATCGGTAGAAGTGGTGTGCCATGAATTGCTAAATATATTACATATGATAGATTATTTTTTTGCAAATTTTCAATAAATCTTATTTCGTTAATTATATTTCCACGTTAAATTTATATTAACCGCGACTGTTTACGAAAAGTGACTGATATAGAACGCCAATGCGACTCGTCTCAAAAATAATGGCGTTATAGATGGGACGAAGTCAATTTGTTCCCTGGGACGATCTAATTGTCGTCAGACGGTCCTCTGAGATGAGACGTTTTAAGTTAGGTTGACCCACCTCTATTAGTACCACACCTTATTGAGACAGGTTTTCTGTGGTAAGGGTGTAACGTTTACTTTGGCTCCTTGACTAAAGTGCGTAATCCACCAAGAAGAGTGTTGCCTGACTCCTCGACCACGCAATTATGGGGCGCGGCTCTTTATATACGTGATTGCTCACAGTTATTATTCTGATATCTGTCAGCTTACAAGTCGCAAAGTCGCTTTGTTTGCATTTCTTCCACGTTCTATCTATCATCAAACTATAGAGTGTTTCTATCTATAACTTCTTTGAATCAAACCTATAAAATGAAGTCGGGTTCTGACTGCTACTGCACTATGTTGGTTTTATTGATATTACAATAAATTTATCAAAATATAATGAGATAATAACAAATACCTAGAAAAGACCAATGTCATTTCAGTCCAATTTACAATAAATTAATCATAATATAAAGAGATTATAACAAATCCATAGAAAAAACCCGCTTTCAGAATCCTGTCAATAATTCAAACTGTATGATAGAATTAAAGATACATAAACATTTTACTTCTTCACTATGTTTCTGCATTTTTTTCTCATCTAGACTTATTTTCCTTTGTACTCAAATAATTTGTTTACTAGTTTTGGAGACATGTCTAAACATAAATAAATCTGTTGCGAGCAAAGTTGCTTGGCAAAGCTTTGTTCTTAGTTTTGCCTTTGTCTCTGAAGACACGTTCACATATGAACTAACATGGGCAGGGAAAGGCATAACTGACGTTTCACATGACCAAGAGAAAGTATCAAATGCAGTATATTAAGAACAAAAAATCTAGGTAAATATCTGTAATCAATATAGCACGATTATGGATGCATCTGCCACTTAACAATCCTTTCGTAATGTATTATTAGTGTTGAAACATTTCACTCAATGAACTATATGACAGCAGGTACAAGTAGATCGCCACTTCGTCGATTTATTACAAGGGTCTTTATTATTCAAAAATTAAAAAAAAACATCTTATAAATGATAAATTACCAAAAGACAGCTACATCCGTTAAATGAACTCTGTTTTAACATGAAGGGTTTTTCTTTTAAAAGATAAGAATCTTGATAATAATTATTCCGATATTTTAAATAGTAAACATACAGTAATCACTCAACGGACTCAAACAGTATACAGTCATGTACTGAGTCCAAGGGTTAACTCGGATGATAACCCCTCCACATCCTTAGCAAACTGACTAGAATTAAGCTGAATGGGTGCGTTAAGGTTGGCATACAGTACTGGTTTACATAGATATAAAGGAACAGTCACAACACCTAATAGATTTCTGGGTTATCAGGTATAGGGCATTCCCTAGTTATGTGGAGCACGACCTTATTTGATAACGATTCACGCTGGCCTCTCTTATATTGGTTTTGTTCATATGGCAAACTTACAACTTTTTTCTCAGGGCGCTGAGAAAACCAGCAATTGTGTCACCTAAGCCTAAGCGCTCTAGATTAAATAAGAAATACAGATTAACGTGTGTCATCTGCGGAAAACGCAGGTAATCCTCTACCAATGAGCGAATTTAACCTCCCACGTAAAGCAATGGCACGCTGGGAAAACTTGTTCCTTTGACTAAATTGTTACATTCTCATTGTGCGTTCTTATAAAGGTGACGAGCAATAACGTTTGAATATGAACATCTTGATTCTGTGTACGAGAAACCATATGAATTGTAACACAAAGATGACGACTAAAACTCCGATCATTACAAGGACCGTCGTTCCGGGGGTATTCCAGTCCAATATCCCAGGGTACAGCACGTTATTTTGGGGGTCCACGGACCAATATATTACTGACCATATCACGTACACTATCCCATAGGTAAGGGGATAAATAAAATGAAGAATACGAATGGGGAAAGCCGCTAGAATGATTTCAATGAAAACAATCAGAGAGTTCAAACCGTGGAGATGCAAATCCGTGACGTAAACTGAGGTTGGGAAATAGGACAATGTGTCAAAATATGCTAAAATATACTTGTGCAATGCCCCATAATAAATGGCCGTGACAATCGGGGCCCACGCTAAGAGGATATTGAAGAGTACCCAAGACACCTTGGAAAACCAACGGGTAAGGTCCGTATCGGTGTCGGTAAATTCTATGGTATTGCTCTGAGGGGAAGTTATCACCACTGCCGGTAGGGTACTGTCTGTAGCAAGTTCTTTGGAACCATTAGAGCCGTTTTCCAAAGTGGGTGTTCCTTTGGGTTCCGCACCGTCGTCTGCTTCCTGTGTCTGATAGGCGGGGTTGTCGTACGTTTCTTTCTGTCCATCGTTGCGTGATATGATCGCATCTTCTTTCCCGCCGTCAGACAGCTGTTTCGTTCTCGACTGACAGTAACACAAAATGGCAACATTAGCAGCCCAGATCAGATGGATGACGAGCGCAATGTATGTCCATATGGTCAGATATGCCAGTTGAAAGTGGCCCCGTCCTCCGAAAGGGCTCCTCAGCATAGTATAGAGAAACCATGTGAGCGTGTAGAGAGCCACAATAACTCTATATGTGAGAAATATTCCGGGATGAATAGGCCACTGAAATTGAAAATTGACATAAAGACAATGGTATTACACTGTAGCAGTGCTCTATTGGTATTGTTTGACGACATTGTTTCTTGTTTGGAAATGTAGAAACTAAAATATTATTTTAAGGAATCCAAAAATACAAACCTTTCGGAATGCATAATACGCCTATTTGGAATAGTGATTGAGCCTTTGTTTGATAATATGATTATCAGATTTATATTTAGCTCTTATCAGTGGTCTGTACCAGTACGCCTATAGTAACATGTGAGTTAGACCTACATCTACTAGTATAAAATAAATGTATTAGAATTGAAAATTACGAGATTGTGAATGTAATGTATTGCTTTAAAACTTCTGCATACTGGGTACTTAAAAAAGTTATGAGGCTGGCCCAGCTCAGATCAGCTCAGTCAAGTTTGTCTAGACAAAGGACCGCACCCGTGAGCAGCCCGGTCAAAAACTGTGACTGGATTCATTGCCACGGTTTACGTACAGTACTCATTCTATTCTGATGTCCGTTTTACCCTCTTACCTGGCACCGATAAAAACATCTGTGCGACGAAAAACGCAAACCAAATTTCTTTACACGAAATTCCTCCCGTAGAGTGTGTAGAAATCCCATAATGATGTCTTGGTCACGCACCGGTACAGGTATAGAGTCGATCTACGATATAATTCCCTGATCAGTCGTTTGCTACAGAACGTGCCTTTTTTAATGACCCAGCACGGTTTTGTCTAAGGTCGTCGAAACCAGATCCTCTGTCCTGAAACGTCTGAGGTTCTTTCAAGATCGCAGTATCATTACTACGGGATGACTTCGACTTCTTGTTCAGGCACCAAAAAGGGAGGGTCCTGGCGTTACGCAAGGTGTTCCCCTGCTGCTATGTGACCCAGCGTTGCTATGTTTGCAGGTCATCGGGCATGATAAATATAGCGCTGACGTTCGGTCGGGGAGTGTGAATTAATGCTTATCTAGCTACAAGTCGAAACGTATAATATCGCTATGCCACCACCTTGGTAAAAAAGCAATCTACTCTGAATTTTATAGGTATGCTGACTTTATATCTGGAAAAATTGCTGTAGGAACTCTTGATGAAGTAGGTGCAGGGAACTACAGAAGTGGACTATTAGCTTTTTTCCGTCTGTTAGGTTGTCTTTATTTTAGGAAATGCTGCAATGCTTTTTTGTCAGTGAATCCAGACAGTAGCACCATTAGTTATTTCAGAAGTTTGTATAATAAGGACCTCAGTTATTCAGAAAATGTTTCTATTTGGTTAGGTAATATTAGGTCAGCTTTGATGTAGATGTTAGATGTAGAATCCTTGGAGCATGTATTGCCACTAGAAGATAGCTTAAAGTGACACTGGTTAAGGAGTTGTTACATGTATATAGCACAGATGTGGGGACAAGCAGGCCAGAATAGGATAGAGTATTTAGATGTCGTAATATGGGGGTACCAGTTAGAAGAAGGGAAACTCAAATATAAATTCTCAACAAATGAGGTGGATAAATTAGCACAGGATAATTTTAATTTCTTAATGAAAGGGTGTAGTTGTAGGAAGGTAGACCACGTGTGGCAACCATTGTGGATGTAGGAAGAAAAATAGAACATGTGGGCCAAGTTGTATGTGAAGGGGAGTGTTTAAATAGCTTAGCTAATTTATGTAGTGAAGAAATTATAAAAGAAAACAGTGATAGTGAAAATAGTTGTAGTGAAGCAATTCGAACACGCAAACATAAATAGCTAGACATGCTTTATTGTCGACAGAAAACTAGATATGCCCTTCATTTTTAATTAAGAAATATAGGACCGACTTCTTCTTCTTGAAAATTGAACGATTGTTGTGATTTGTCAAGGGTAGAATTTCCCGCTATCTATAAAACCTTCTTGATTCTTGGAGTAAAACTAAACTTTTAGTCGTATTTTATAATTGGTAACGTGATCTTCATACTACATTGTAGGTTGGCATAGTTTGAGAAATCTGCTGAACAGGCTTTATTTCCAAGAAATCAGGAGGAACAATAATAATGAAACTGTTTACATAACTGCTATATTTGGATTTTCATTACAAAATTTAATTATCTGAACGTTAATAATAAATGATACAATCAGATGGTGCTACCACAGACTTTTTACATAACTGCAATATTTGGATTTTCATTTCAAAATTTAATTAACTGAACGGTAATCAAAAAAATGATACAATCAGATGGGGCTACCACAGACTTTTTACATAACTGCAGAATTTGAATGCTTTGGGTTGCACACTTTTAGATTGATATGTCAATAGTTAATGACCCAATCTTGATGTCAAAGCTGATTTCCTTAAAATTTCAGTGGCTGTGTCAACATAATTATTTGGGGTTAGAGAATATGAATGCTTTGGGGTTGCACACTTTTAGATTGAAATATCAATAATAGATGATTCAATCTAGATGACAATCTTTGATCATAGGCTTTGATTTGATTTTATTATATTCGTATTTCATTAGGTGTTTCTACAGAATTATTTTGGGTTTGAAAATTTGTTGCTTTGGGTTGCACACTTTTACAAAGATATGTCTTCAACAACAAAATTGTATGTTCTTAATGGGGCAAGTCGAAATTTCTTTAAAAAATGAACGACATTTTATCAAAATCAAATGGACTGGGTACTTGGTTTTTTCAATGAAAAATCACAGACAATTTTGAATTTTACACCAACTGTATTTTTTAATTCATATTTTTTTAATTGTAATTTTCTCATTGAGTGGTACAACAATACGAAGAGTGCCTTACAGTTTTATTTTTTATAATAAAGACACAAATCCTACATGGAAATATATTTTTGAACTGAACTTTGCAAATTTTCTATCCCTTATATTTCGAAAACTGGCAGGGATACGCCCATAGTTACTATTGACCTTGTATAGGAGGTCATATTCTGGCAATCTCACTGAGACCTTGAAGTTGACCTTTGACCTACTTTTTACCATGATCTGAACTTCTGAATTTTTCAACGAATGCTATGATTTGTCAAGGGTAGAGTTACACACTATCTATAGAACCTTCTTAATTGTTGGAGTAAAATGAAGTCTTTATTATAACAAGTGTTTAATCGGTTGTATTTTATTTAGATAGCACAGATTACTAATGTGCTATTTATATTTTTCAGTAAATGAAAAGAGACAGGAAGTGAGAGGTCTTCAACAACTTTTATAAAACTCTTAAGTCTTAACCATAACAACACCTTAACAGTACTTGAAAAAAAGTAGGGTGAGGATTTAATAAAACGAATTGGGTTAAATACCATTCTCATTTATCCTTATCTCTCCCCAAGATAAACAGCGAATCGACAACGCCATCAAAAGGAGACTCAAATCCGTTATTTCGCGCCGTGAATCGCGTTTTAAATGTAATGCATGTGTGCGTGTATAACATGGCGTTGACTAATGAAAAATATGACTAAGATATTTACATACATATACGTATTTTATTAAAACTTCAAAAGAAGAACAAGAAAGGTAGAGCCCTTTTATTAAAAACATATACGCTCGAAATCATTAAAACTACTATATATTAATTCCCAAAACAATACAAAAACTGTACAGGCTATGGATATGGCTAGATCAAATCACGAGTCAAGTGATAAATCAAGATGGACAAGGACAAGTGCATTTGTACCCCCAGTGCCCCTTCGACGCTTAGACGCTAAGACATGGCCTTTATGACGGATTTGTAACCATCAATATAATGATCCTACATGCACCAATACCATGACCTTTTTTTTTTTGATAGTTTGCTTTGCTAGTGAATTTATGTACAATCTCTCCTTTCATAAACAACGCCGCTATTGTGTATACACACACTGGACAATAGAAGTGTCACCCCTACTAAACCAATACTTTGGGGGAGATAAATTGCTGTGGAATGATATGCTCCTGGTATGATTAAAATCAAATTTCACAAAAAGACCAACAATACAATTCCATGATACAGCAGTTTTATACTCATTAGTCACATTATAAGTAGACCAGGCATTATAACTTTGATTACTCTGATTCAGGGGGTGACACTTCTATATTGTCCAGTGTGTATACAGTATATGACCAACTGATAAGTTTATGTGTAATACCTGAGATATAAATGGCAGTCATAAAAATTATACAAATACTAATGGCTATGATGAAATTTTCAGTACGTTTGTGAACATGGTGAAAAACGCAGCATACAAACTTCCACTGATTCTCATTTTCTTTTCATACACGCAAACAATAGATATTATAAAGTATTTCAGTATCCCCAAAAGGTATCCCCTTTGTACAAATAAATGCATCTATGAATATTATAAAAATGTTATAGTTTTCAAAAGCTGTTTTGTGCCAACTAGCAGAAGAGGAGAAGGACAAATTAACCTCTCGACTAAACTGAGTAAATGTACATATGTGAACCGTCTACCGCCAGTATATGCTGTATACGTACGTGCAAAAGTTTTGTTTCACCAACCTTTGAAAATATCAAATTAAATATTTCTGTGTGCATAATAAATATAATTATGAATAAAACCCATTCCGTCTACAAAGAGTTGGCAGAATTCTCCATACAACACCTTCCGTACAGAGAAATCTTAATTCTACTTAACAGCCACAAGATAACATGAAACGTTGTCATGGCAACGATGACTAAAGCTACAACTACCGATGTTCTGGTGGGGTTGTTCCAGTCTAGAACGCCCGGGTATAGTACGTTTTTCTGGTGGTCAAATGACCAGTATATAGCCGACCATGCCAGGTAGACAAGACCATATATGAGGGCGTGGGTGAAGTGTAATATTCGTACCGGATAAGCTGCCAGGCATAACTCTAGGACAACCAAGCAAGTGTTCACTGCGTGCAACTGGATGTCCACTAGAAATTCGATAGTGTCAGTGTTTTTGCTATTATCCTGCTTTAGAGGGTATAGCATTGCGTAATACAGGGCTGTTATTATTGGGGCCGCTACTTGGTTAATGTTCATCAGAACCCATGACATCTTTGAATACCATTTGACTCTGTCCACGTGACATCCAGTTCCGGTGAAATCAACCAATGATACGTCAGTAGTTGCGCCGTGGGGATCATAAATTGCAGCAGATGATGACGCGCCATTAGCAACGGTCTCATTTGACTTTACAAGGTTTGAGTTGACCGAAAAAGATGAGTTGATTGTACCTAAGACTAGGTTTGGTGGCGGCTTTTCATTGGTTTGTAGCTCCGTGCCGGTTTTCTTCATATTCTTGCGCGGTAGATTTGAAGATGATTGGCCGTAATTCGCCACTGTGATTGCAGCGGCGAGCATCAAATGGACCACCAATAGTATGTAAGTCCATATCGTAAGGTACACGAGGGTGAAATGACGCCCAGTGGTCCTGGAAGATCGTGATACAACAAACACAAACCAAAAGAAAGCGTAGCAAGCGACGATGATCCGGTACAGGAGGAAAATACATTTCGGAAAAGGCCACTGAAAAGGAGAAATAATTTTTTTAAATTAGAAAGTTCATTTCAAACTTAACATATATTTGAAAAAACCTACAATTTATTAAAAATTCAAAGAAGGTCCTATTTTTCGACGGCGCTGAAAGTGCATGAGTATACAAGTGCTATCAAGAGTAGAAGTGGGTAACAAAAGTAATGAAAGCTAATGATATAAAATTCATTTTATTCCAGACAACACACGTGAGCTTGATTCTTGAAACGCTTGCGTTCCCGATAGATATATGTTACAAAAGCCTCATGCATAAACCCTGATAAAAAACCGGTCGTCGAAATATAGGATTTGCTTAGATTTTAGTGCATTAAAATTATAAATCCCCGTGCTACATGTGTTTTGAATCACATGCACATGCTCGTGATCGTTGTATAACTCACGTGAAAGCACGTGTTCAGTTGATAAATCATAACACAAACCCACTGTCAGTCAATTCGTCATCTTTATCGGTCATCATCTTTATCGGCCAATAACTTAAAAGGGTTATGTGGTTGACTTAAACATTGTCAAAGTATATTCTGATTAACCTAAAGGACATTAACCTTATAAAGCTCGCTTTAAGCCTGCGCGCCTATATAATACCTGTGTATGATTAATTTGTAACATTTTATCTTATCTTGAATAACGTTCCTATATAGCGTTTATGTGTAATTAATATATAATCTATTAAAATTAAATGCCAAATGTTATCTTGGATGGCATCCTGTATGTTCATTCAAAAAAACCGGTTGTAAATGATATCGGTTGTTTGTTGAATTTCGGTCAATCAGACCTAAAATTTTACGGATAAGATTGCTTTGTGTGGCTCTTACTGATCTAAAGCAGGGGCAAAGGACATCATACTTATCATACTTTAAATAAACGAAAATCGTGTTCCGGCCCACGCGATATATGCTGAAGAATTCTGAATGAAAGAAACACAAGGGCAATATTTGGTCTGGTAAATATTTTGATTAGCAGTTTGCCCACCAGGGCTGACGAATGAAATATATGTGTTAAGTGAGATCTCCATGGATTTTGGGAATAAGTAGCATTCAATCATATTTCATTTTTTACGACAAGCATAAAGGAATTGCACTGTTGAAGGCAATATTTTCTTAATTTTTGACCAATCCTTACTTTGCATTCCTTGTCTGGGCGACCCATCCAAAATTGGGTGGATTTCAGAAAATGTAATTTTTTTTACAAGAAATCAGCTACCTGTATATACATTTCTATGCGTTTTCTTTATCATTGCAATTGTTTATGTCCAAGACCTCAGCGAAACCATTCCAGTGAAACCATCGGTCCACGTGCATCGATCTAATTCCACGGGGACTCTCGCTGAATGTAATCATATTTACATATTAACACGACTCCACCTGGCGATGAGAAATGCTGGTGGGTGTACGAGTACTTTGGAAACAAGAGGAGGCGTGTTAATCTGTTAAACTGATTGCATTCAGAGAGATAGTCCCCCCGGAGTTGGATCGATAAACGTAGACCGATAGTGTCATTGGGTATTAGCCCTAATACATTTTTCATTTTAAAAATGCTTCAGCATTATCTTATTAAATGTTTGAACGCGTCCAAAATTTATGCGTTCAAAATGTCTCCGCTGAAATGCTGGACCTCTCCCCAGAAAGACAAGCTTTTTTAACTTTTATTTCTAGTTGCTCATCCGATAACAACTGTTTAAACAAAATATGTCAGTGACAACGTGGACTTTGAACGTTTGGAGTGAGTATCAAAATATTGACTTGATATACGAGATATTCGTGCAGTAGGCATTGGGTGACATGAAAGAAATATTTAATTCTGACGGAAAAGTCCATTTATTTTCCAAGAATTCATCGTACAGACCTTTTTTGGATGTAACAAATATATACTAGTAATATTTCGTATATGTGAAATCATAACAAAGACCATAATGAGTTGACTTATATCTATATGAGACATACGCACGCGTACAGTTGGGATAAAATAACAACATGCAACTGCAATATATATAGTCTAATTTTCTTTTAGCATTGATTTTACATTAAATAAGGGTGAGAATCTTCACACAAGTACAAGTTGAACCGCGATTTGACCCCCCCCCCTCCTCAACAAAGTTTTACTACCAAAGGGTTTTTATGAGGTATAAACTGGGAGCTCCGTCAAGGACCACTTTAATAGCCTTTACACTGCTCTTTTATACACGTGTTTATATATTAGAATTTACTTCTAAACCTAATTAGAAATAGCCATTGTCATTTGCAATTGTATCGTATAATATTGTATATTACATATGAGTAATATACACCCACCTGGCATCTGAAAAAACACTGGTTTGACGAGTGGCTGAGGCCGAACTTTTTTACCCTGAACTCTTCTCGGAGATCCTGAATAAAACCCATTGCCGGGAATTACTTTCCTTTTCTCTGGTAAAAAATGATCTTAGTAACAATCCCTCAATGTTCCTATCCTTTCCAATCGCACCGGTCTAGTCAACGAAAACGGCAGGGTTGTTGTCGGAGGTGTCTGTGCGCCTACACCGTATTATACGGGTCTTGCTGCTGTATGTTGACAAGCCCTGGAGTCAAGGAGCGTACCACCTCGACTTTTATTGCCCTAGACCTTTACTGATAAGCTGAAGCGGTTATCTGGTTTAAATTACTCTCCATGGAACGCTTAGACGATATGGCACTGTTGATGCGGGTGTGCGTGGGCACGTGCATATTTTTTTAATTAGAGTGTGTGTTTGTTTGTGCGTGTATGTCTGATGTGAGTGCTTTTGAGTACGAGTATGTTTTCCATTTGAGTTTGTGGTTGTGTGAGTACAATGTTAATCATTTTATTTCAATCGGCTATGTTTCGAGGAGAAAAAAAGGGAAAAATGAACTTCTGTAAATTGCCTCATCTGCATAATCTTGGCATCTACCTTTAGATCTTCCACTGATATATGTAATAAAATATCAGTTTGCAAGGTACTGAAATAGTGGTACACATCATCAAGGTAACAAGAGATTGGAACCAATATAACTGCAGGTATTTACACTGCATAGCAAATACACACACTATGTGTGGCATGGTGTTTCCAGTAATAAACTAAAATTGATCGAGATTGAAAAGTGTATATAATTTCGAACAAAAAAGAAGTACTCTTGATACGGTGTTTAATATTTGCGTACAATTAAGAAAAGTAAAAATGGACAAAATTTACATAATTATCTTACATTCAAGTTCATACGATGTAGCCTAATTAGGAAATATAAATGCTATAAAAGCCTACATGTACATGCATTTAATAGTTTCTTGAGATGCAGAGTTCAGGAAAAATTGTGTAGAAATCAGACTTTTTAACTTTGTATTTTACCGACCTTGGACACAAGAAAACTAACACAAATCAGGATGTATTTTCATATGTCTAAAGAAAATGGCGTGTAAGTGCAAATACCAATTTTCAGCTACATGTACGTCTTTGGTGCAAGATCTTTCAGCATGTAACAAAACGGGGAAATGTCCCATTTTATCCGACAGTAAACTGAGATTAATTCAGATTATCTCATTAACTAATGCTGCCAACATCATTTAAAATTCTGAAAAACATCGACAATAATGTAATACAATTGATCACAAACATTATGCATAACAAAATCTGTTCTACCTACTACCTTGACTTTAAACTGCTTTTCTCTAACTACATGTACAAAGTCGATCCCTTAGTTTAAAAACTATTATCTTTAAACAGTTTCTAGTAGAGATTATGCAGTTAGAAAACAGTTCTTTCTTCGTAGTCAACGTTCTTGCCGTTTCGTTCAACGGCACACCAGCGGGCATTAATGTCTATATACCAGCTTTGACCACATCCGGGTCTCTTCGCTTTGTGAGACACAGGGCGAAATTTCCAATAATGTGTAGGATGACGGCACCGGTTACTAAGGCGATCCAAACTGTCAGCGCATCGGTGCCCAAGCCTTGATGTCCTGGGATTTCCAGGGCGAAATTTTCGTGTTCGTCATCATCTAAAAGTAAAAAGGTAAATAGTAAGGAAAAGTGTCAAAGTTTGAAGAATTTGTCCTGTTGATGTCTTTTTAGGGGCCTACTTAGAAATCATTCATAACATGGAAGTATGAGATGCAAGGATCTCCATGTTATCTACTATTACAAATCAACATCTTAGCCGTCAACTTATTCATCTTTTAAACTTTTAAACTGTATCAAAATTATATTTCAGAAAAGTTAAAAGTTCATGCATGGTCAACTCTGTGGTGTGAGTCGTATTTACCAATGCTACGCCGCCGTCTTCCAACGGGTGTTCCAATGCAGCGATAGCTTCCATACGTATTGAGACACGTTTGTCCAGCAGAGCACGGACTTGAAGTAGCACATTCGTCTTCGTCTGAAATGGAAAATGTATGTTGATGATACAAACATATATATATATTTTTTTTCCATAACTGTTCCATTCGTTTGAAAGATTATACGGTATAACTTTGGAAAAAGGTGCTTACAATTTTAAGTTACCAAAGTTAAGAAATGGCGTAAAAGCCAGATCGGTACTTCTGGCATTCGGCTCCACCCCATGTATACGTTTTGTTTCACCCGAAAAATGCTGCTCATTTGGGATACTGGCATTTTAAATCAACATTAAGTAAAAAAAATTAAAAAAAGAAGTTTAAGATTCGGTTACCTAGGCAACTGTGTCCGTCGTCGGCCAGAGTGAATCCTGTACGACACGTGCATATGTAACTTCCAACGGTGTCAGTGCAGTTATGGTGGCACCCGCCGTTATTCGTGTTACACTCGTTGTCATCTGAAATTTATCAAATATAAAATCGTCAATAATTTGTTCTGACTAACTTAATGCATAAGATATTGTTGAAGTTTTCAGATTTTTTACTATATAAAAGTCTAGGTCTATTTAATGACTTAAAATCTCGGTTGTACTTACTGGCACAGTCGGTTCCGTTTACAGATACAGCCACGCCGTTTATATGACAGATGCACTGGATACCAGCATCCAAGGTATGTATGCAGTTGACATTTTCAACTAGAAAACAATGAAGGCTGTGGAATAGGATTTCGTATTATAAAATGAAACATTAAAGTTGTAACTGCACGTAAATAAGTTTTTTAGCCAAAGTTCACATGACGCCCACATGTAGGCCTACATAAATGACTTATTAGTTAATCCTGCATTAGTAAAAACCTTGTATGATCTATTACTATTAGGCTTAACCATACATACAGAGATGCTACCTGATGACAGAGTTCAGTAGGGCCTACCTGTTCTAAAGGCATTTACCGTACATGTATAATATATATACAGTATGTATCGTTTAAAATGATGCACACAGCCATTTGAGAGTACTGTACTTACTGGTGCATCCTGGTATGGTGAGAGGAACCAGTTTGAAGCCAGTCTCACAGAGGCAGCAGTAGCCGTCGTATATGTCCACGCAGATATGGGAACAGTTGCCATTGTTGTCCAGACATTCATTGATGGCTGGTGAACAAATTACATAACTATTAGGATAAATAAAATAAATTAAATTCTGGGGGCTTAAAAAGAATCTTGAAAAATACATTTGTGAACTAAATTCCCAATTGCACATCAAAACGAAGTGCGCTTTTTATATTTTTAATTTTTTTAAAATAATATGATAAACATTGTACTGACAAGGCCTGTCTATTCATGCACTAATGTGAAGTATATCGTTTGACAACATCATAATACAATAACCCTAATAGATATCATAAAGGTAACTATTCCAAGGTAAAAAATTAGCCACACCATGAAAGTGTATCCTAGGAAAATGCATTTTTCCAGCCTCTGTGTGAATGAAAACCATATACACAGCTTACCGTAGGGAGATGCCTGTCCAGGTGGTCCGGGGGGTCCCGGGGGTCCTCCTGGTGGTCCCGGGGGTCCAGGTGGACCCTGGGGGCCCAAGGATCCAGATGGTCCAGTAGGTCCAGTGTCTCCTGTAATTCCCTGAACGCCGGGTTGACCGGAAGCACCTGGCATTCCAGTGTCTCCTTGACGACCGTTTGCACCAGCGGCACCTGGCGTGGAATAATAATAAATTTAGACTTTGGCTAGGTAACCCTATATCCGAAACATCCCCTATCACTTGCCTGGCATTTAAAACGTCATCATTATTATTAAAAATAATACCATTATTATTTTTTGTAATTTGGAGCGTAAGCTAATTATTATGAGATCTTATGAAAAATGTTCCATGATTTGTCATACATGCACCCCCCCCTTTGTGTGATATTAGAAAAAAGAACTACCAGCATTATTCCCAATCACAATTCACGTGATAACAGTTGTCTACATTTGTATTCAAACATCTGAGTCTGAGGTGACCACGTTTTAAAATTAAATCAGAAATATTAACGCGATATTCTTGGTTAGTGGGATATTTAAAATATGAATAATTTATCAATAAATAATACGAAGAACATTATCAATATTAAATGCATGTCAAATCAAAGTACATGACTTTAAATGTAATCTCTTTCAAATACGAAAACAGGATCGTTGGTATGTACCTGTGATTCCAGAGATACCGGTCTGTCCAGTTGGTCCAGTCTGACCGGCTGGTCCAGTGAGACCAGCGATACCTGTAAAGGAAAAACATTAATCATAATGGCTAGTTCTGGCAATGCATGGGAAATCTGGTGCCCTTTTTTGGGGTTACATACTGTACATTCACAATAACCACTTTGATAAATTCAGATTTAATATGGGCAAGTTTAAGTAAGAGAAACTCTTGGCCAAAGTAATGTTTATAATGATAGATAGATTGTCATTGAATTATAACTAATGCCTTTATTAAGAAATAAATAAAAACAATAATTATGACAATATGGCATAATTCTTAGGTATGTAATGGAATGCTTGATTCACCATAAAATTCACAACTCATTTAAAGTTGTGTTTAAATTCTGCAGTAAATTGATATTTATCAATGTGTTGTCCCTGTTACACTTCTAATCATTTTAACCATATAAATATGCCATAATAACCACGATAAACCATATATACAGAAATTTGTGTCAATATTTACCTTGGACTCCAGTCGCTCCCACGGGGCCCTGTTGGCCCTGTTCTCCTTTGACTCCTTGTGGCCCCTGTGGCCCGGTTGGCCCCAATGACCCTGTTGGGCCCTGTGAACCCTGACCGCCCGTTACTCCTATCTCGCCTGAAAAATGATATTTTACAGGTTTTGTCACACTGAAAGATGAACTACGAAAAGCAGTCAGTGTTTTTTATCATAGTGCCATGTGTTGTAAAAATCACCCAGCCCATTGGTATTAAAGGTGTTTCATGTATAATAGAATCAAATGTATCTAATAACGTATATTGTGCTTAGATATTTCGCCACTTTCATAACCTTTTCCAAAGAAACAGTTACTTTATTTAGAAGGCTGGCCTGATGACATGCTTCATATCTTTTCTGTGTAAATGTTGAACTATAGAATCAGAAAAGCTTTATCTTCTACTCCATCTTTAATGAATCGACAAAACATTCAAAATAATGACAAATATGTTCTAATGAAAAATTTAAAAACGTCAGTTTACAGGAAGGCACGGAAATTTGGATACCTTTCTGTCCCTTCTGCCCGGCGACTCCTTGACTGCCAGTAGGTCCAGTTTGACCCGTCTGTCCAGTAACTCCCTGTGGTCCTTGCGAGCCTGGAATACCAGCGTCTCCCTGAGGTCCGCGCTGCCCAGTATTACCCGTGGACCCCGTGGCACCGGGCGGGCCCTGCAGACCCACGGCTCCTTGATCTCCCTTCTGGCCCTGTATCCCGTTTTCTCCCTTAGGCCCTGCCGGACCCATGGCCCCTGTTGCTCCGGGGCTACCGGCATCACCTTTTATGCCGACCCCAGTTTCACCACGCTCTCCCTTCTGGCCCTGATCTCCTTGGACGCCCTGGGGTCCGGCCACACCCTGGGGTCCGGCCACGCCACGGGGACCTGGGGAGGTGGCACAAGAAAATGGCATTAAATTAAGCTACATATACTGTACCAGTACTGGTAAGATGCGTTTGAATGCTGTTCTAAATGGCGAATAAAATTGACTGTCAACTTCCAACATTCTGGTTTAAAAAACTGGTTTTCTGTGTTGCAGTCTATTATGTTAATCAGCAGGATATTGATTGCCTCTACAGTTTACCGTATATTACAAATGTTGCTACATGTATTTGGCAATGATAACTGGGGCACTACCATTAGTGTGTGGGGGTGGTAGGCTCATGCCTTAGTTAAAACCAACCCCATAAAAATAACAGGATTGAGGACCAGGCCCAATTTAGTAGTGTACAAGGTAGATGTCTAGATATCTCTATAATGATACCTCCAATGAGCAAACAACTATAAAATGTATTGCGATAGAGGTGTCTCGCCTTACTGCATCGTGGGGCTTAAAATAATGAGTGGGAAGAACACTACTCTGTTTAATGTGGTGGTTAGGCGTGAACTGTTTGTAGATGTTCACACGCACACACTCGCGCACACGCACACAAACACGCGCACGCAAGCACACACGCACACACATGAAGCGTTATTTTTAAGACAAGAGCCAATATCCTAGTATGCTGCGTGTAGTTTATATTGGATTTGAACACCTACCTTGAGGACCGGGGGCCCCAGTTGCTCCATTAGCTCCAGTCACTCCAGCAGGCCCAGGGGCACCTGTCTGGCCGACCAAACCCTGTACACCCTGAATACCCCTGGCTCCTTGTTCTCCCTTGGCACCCTGGGCGCCATTTGCACCTGCACTTCCCTGGTCGCCTTTGGCACCAGCTGGGCCCTGTGACCCAGGGGAACCGGTGGCACCTTGGTAAATGTAAGTTATAATTTTTACGTTGTTTGATTTAATAATGCTACAATAATTGAGATTTAAAAATTGACATTCTGAATCTTTAGATGGGGTTGAGTGATGGAATCAGTAAACGTTTTAATAGGTGGAAGCTTGTAAAAAGCAACTTGATATTCCGATAAAATCAGTCGTATATTCCATGTAAGGAATATATATATTACTCCTTCTGAATATACTTTGAAAAATGAAAATAACTTACCAGGGCTCCCTGTCTGACCAACAGCTCCAGTGTTTCCAGTTTGACCACGTTGACCCTCTGGACCTGCTGCACCCTGAATGCCCTGCTCTCCCTTTTGACCATTGGCTCCGGCCGCGCCTCTGTCGCCCTTTGAACCTGATATTGAATTATACGTTTACTTCATTTATAATTTACATTTTGTTATCGTATTCATTACCTTGTTCTTTTAAAGGCACTATCGACACCGTCTTGGCTTACGATATATTTAGACGCTTCTAGCAACATGCTTTGAGGCACACTGATCTAGTGGAAAGAAAAGAACGCTCAGGGTCTAGTTACCTTAATTGTGAAATGGATCATGTTAACATGTAGTCGCTTTGTGTTTCGACAATACCTTTATCCTTATTTTTAACCAGATATATACAGGTAAGTTTTTCTTGCTTCTTTCATGGGTGTAGTATACATGGAAGGCATCAGCTGATTCATCCCCAGTCAAAATAGACATTTTTTCCTCTGCTTGTCAAGGTCAACTTTGCGTTGCAAATAAGGTGTGGTTTCGGACCTAAAGCCAAATGAAACATGAAACATGATTAAGCAGTCTGATGTTACCTTGTGGTCCAACTGATCCCTGGGCACCGGCAGCACCCTGGGGGCCCACGTCTCCTTTAGCTCCCTGAGCCCCAGCGGCACCGGTATTACCAGTGCTACCAGCATCGCCCTTTTGGCCTGGGGCCCCGGCCTCACCTAGAAGTATGTACGAACTTTTGTTAAACCAGGGATAAGAGAATGCAAAGATTGTCAAAATATATTACTGTAGCCCAATCATTAACTCATTTTAAAACCAACCAACAAAGACTAGAAGAAAAATAAATAATATAAAAAAACTTTAAAAGCAACGGTTTGCACAAAAGACATAAAACTTCGCTTCCGTTTTCATCCAGTTATACGCATGGTAGCTTACGAATTATTTTATGCACAGTGTATTTATACTTCTTTCCATATTTCTTGATCTATATTTCAATCTTCCATTTTTTTTACTTTAAATTTGATAAGATTTTTGATCGATTGACTGTTTGATTGGCCGGTTTACTGAACGATTCATTGATTGAATATCAATATAACAAATACTCCATCCGGACAGCTGCAATAAAACCCGGAGCCTACCCTTCTGTCCTTGCGGCCCGGCAGCACCAGCGGGGCCACCTGGCCCGACTTGGCCCTGGATCCCCTGAATACCCTGCTGACCCTGGACCCCCTGGGCCCCTTTTTCTCCCTGGGGTCCAGCCGGCCCCGTGTCTCCAGTCTGTCCCCGCACACCCTGGACGCCTTGAAGACCGGTGTCTCCTCTCGCCCCTTGGCTACCAGGCTCGCCTTTGGATCCGGCCGGCCCTTGGGTTCCTTGGGCCCCTGTAGCACCTGGGCCACCCTGGGCACCTGGGGCTCCTACACCTTGGTCTCCTTTCTGGCCCTTGGCACCCGCGTTACCCTGTATTCCCTGCAAACCGATGGGTCCTTCTGGTCCAGCAATGCCTTGGACGCCTATATTAAAAGTGGCACCATGCACAGTTACTTATTTCTTGGATAAACTGTCATAAGTGCAGTACATGTAGTTTCAATATCGAGTAGCATGTTTTTAGAAAATACTGTAAGTCCGTCATACAGACACCAAGTTATCTGTTTAGGGTCCCCTTTTCTGTCTCCACAAATAAAACTATTACGTAGCTTTGTTGGATATAATTGTGTTGCTTAAATTGATTTATTTTTTACATTAATAATATACTGCTTATCGTCCTTGACGACATACAAGTGACGTTTCCGATTTTTGCATATAAGCACTGCGCCACAAGACAAAATGGAAAACAACTTCATAACGAATACCCACCTTTTTGTCCAGTAGCTCCAGGTTCACCTTTAGATCCCTGGGCTCCGGTTATTCCCTGAGGGCCAATAGCGCCCGGAGCTCCGTTAGGTCCAGCTGCTCCAGCGGTCCCGACCTCTCCCTTCTGTCCCTGGGCACCGTTAATCCCGTTGCTCCCTGCATTGCCTTTGTCGCCCTTCGCTCCGACTGAACCAGCAGGGCCTGTTTGACCTGAATTTTTAGATGGAAATGATTATAAATGTAGATTATGAATCCATATTAATTTCATTATTTAAGAATATTCCCATTGGATGCTCATACTAACATTGCTGCTCTCCCTCTCTCTCTCTCTCTCTCTCTCTCTCTCTCTCTCTCTCTCTCTGTGTGTGTGTGTGTGTGCGTGCGTGCGAGAGAGCACGCACACGCACTTAATCTTCACGTCATCACATGCTTACCTGTGCCACCTGTCTGTCCTGTTGGACCACCCGGACCCACGCTACCCTGTGGTCCCACTGCCCCCTGGTCCCCTTTATTGCCCTTGAATCCTGCTTCTCCTTTGGAACCCACGGGGCCGACGTCTCCCTTTTGACCTTTGGAATACAAAATATTGGAGTAAAACGTGCACAGTTTTTTATTTTTTATTTTACAATAAACAGTAATTTCGGAATTATTTTGTATTACATTAACATGAAAATATTATTAATCAAATTTGGAGTGTAGTATATATGTGTTATGAAGAAGTGATAGCGGAGGAACCAATAAACACTGTACATATACATACGCCTACAGGGGGCACATGGCTACATTTACTCGTACATACCTGGGATACCTATAGGTCCCTGTGCGCCTTGCTCTCCCTTAGGTCCATCGGCTCCAGTGACGCCGGCATTACCAGCTGGACCCTGCAGGCCCATGGCTCCTTGAGGACCGGGCTCACCCTTGCCACCCTTGCTACCCGCTGAGCCCACTGCCCCAGCTATACCCTGCACACCGCGCTCTCCCTTGGCGCCTGTTGGCCCTGGGGGTCCTGAAACCGGATAGCATGACATCATCATGGGATCAGCTAATCTTTATACCGCTCGGTGTATAAGGTGTATAAGTGCATGTGAATTATAATGGATATACACTATAGATATAGATAAATTGATGTATTGTATGGATATTGGCATGGGTATGGATGCATGTACAGGTTTGCTTAACATCGGCACTAGTTTGGAGAATATCTCAGTCACCTGCGTTTCGAGATGATTACACCGTATGTAGTACTTAGAATGATTTATCAGTTTGTTCTGTTTAATTCAATTCATGGCTTGGATTACAATTAGAAAAAAAGAGAGAAAAATTATGTAATCATTAATTTTGAAGTATGGATGACAGGGAACAAAATGCACTATGACGAAAAACTCACCTGCGTTTCCTTGAACTCCCTGCAATCCGGTCTGTCCACTGGCGCCTGTCTGGCCAGCTGGTCCGGTCTGGCCGAATCCGGTGGGTCCTTGAGGGCCCGTTGCACCTTCGGGACCGGCTGGACCTTGGTTACCAGTTTGACCTTTTGAAAATGAAACAGCAATATTGTTATGAAGAAGTTGATGATCTTAATGAAGATTATAGAACAGACAAACCTACATCAAAATATATTGGTTTCTTTAGAAATAGAAAAGGGATATTTTTTCAATGTCGGTAACGAGGAATGACCGTCACAATATATTAAACTTGAAAGGCCTTTCTACCTGCGGGAAACCATACCTTGTGGTCCGGGGTTTCCTTGCTCTCCCTTGTTCCCCGTGGCTCCAACTGGTCCTTGAGCTCCTGCAGGTCCCACAAGACCCTGCTCACCCTTCTGACCAACCTCTCCCTTCTGGCCTGGACTGCCTGTTGCACCCTGCGGCCCGGCCGGTCCGGCGACACCCTGAACACCCGCGGGTCCTGAGAAGATTGATAGAATAGTTCTCATTATTAGTTTACTAATACATGCTGTATAGATGGTATGTGCCTTGAATTACCTGTATATGTCGTGCTTTAAAAGTCAAGGAGATGTGAAAGCATTAGTACATGTGTGGTATATGATGTCATAAAATATGATTAATTTTGCGACAATTTTGTGAAACATGTTAATTTTCTTTAAAATATCTTTTTGGACAAGAAGTGGCATTTAAGTTCTATGGTGATCATGGTCTCTGTGTAGTTGACATTAATGACACGTCATGTAACGTCATATCAGTTGTGTCGCTGCCCCGGCTTGCCTGGTGACACCCTTGGTACTAAATCCTGTCAAGTGTATTAGGCAAGTGCGTCCACGGCAACAGAGAGACTGAGTTACGCCTCAGTGCTGTAGTTCAAACATCGTGAAAACGCCCACCAAAAGAGATCTCCAGGTAAAACTTGTAATTACCTTTTGAGAACAACTAATATTAATTTCAAAGGTCAGGGGAGCTTAGTTTCGTAAATATTTGTCCGAGTCTAAAATAGATCACTTCAAAAACTTGTTTGGATGGTCAATAAGATATAGAGAGTCATCGAGAAAAGTCGAACACAATTTTAAAAATAGATTGAAATGCATCTCCAGGATGTCTTGAAAGACTTTGCAACATGGATTTGGTCATTTTTAAAATGTATAATAAATAAATAAATAAATAAATAAATAAATAAAAACGAACAAATGAATCAATACCTACATAAATGAAAAAATACCCAAAGGAATGAAAGGCTAAACAGATATATATAGATAAATAAAACACGAAACAATCAAATAAATGATTTAAAACACTAAATTACTGTAAACAATTCCACCGTGTATTTGCATACCTTGAAGACCTTGGGGTCCCATGGGTCCTGCCACCCCAGCACTACCCTGACTCCCCTTCTCTCCCTGGGCTCCCTTCTGTCCCTGCAACCCGGGCAATCCCTGGGGACCCACGGGTCCTGCTGCCCCCATAGGTCCGTTGCCGCCTTTAAAGTATGAAGAAATATATAAAAGTGTATATATTAATGGTTAGTATCTATTTTGTTATTGCATAGGTATTTAGAGGTTCTGATTATGATCAAGCGTGCCTGAATATATCCTGACATTGTGAATATCTTAAATAGACTTTGATATTTCAGATCAGTATGTTTCTGTGAATTATGTAGAGCATTTTGTCACAAATATAATATAGAACGCAAAATTAACCACTTTCAATCTGTTTACAAACTTAAATATTAATATGTATAAAGAAAATGTAAAGCTGGCACAATTTACCATATAATTGCTAAAACACCTAAGTTAGTTCATAGCAATACGCACCTTGAAGTCCGGTCGGTCCCGGGGGTCCACCTGGACCTGCTGGTCCCTGGGGTCCTGTGGGTCCAGGCACGTTGACCACCTGAACACCGGGATTTACTAGAATAATAGTACAATATTTTACAATTATGACCAAACTGTCCGTAGTTAAAGAACAAGCCAATTTTTTATCAAAATGGGCAGTGTTATGCACAGAATAGTATTATCTAGCATTGACTATAGGCCCAAGAAGGGAATGTGTAATGCCTCTCCTCGCTTGCTCAACGGCTTAAGGTTAAGATCTTTATTTTTACACAACAATGCGTCACAAATGATTGCAAAGAGATGTAGGCCCATGTTGCAAATTACTGGACGGTATAGCCCCAATGATGATGCACGCCTGATTTAATCCATAAGGTCGTACGTAAACCTCCGCCCACCCTACCGCCGCCGGATTCCAAGGCGGAACTGTACAGGATGAACAAATACACAAAATAAAGAACAATGTTTGTGTAGGTTAAAGAATGAATAAAGAATGTACACATTCCGATTTTAAAGACCTTCTAAAGAGCGCTTTTTTAGCCTTGGGATAATTGCAATGTGATATTGTAAATACAAGCTAGAGAGCAAAAAATTCGTACAATCGATGCATTTAAATTCTAAAATTAAACACTAAATTCGAACACGAGAAACTTTGGTGATATTTAATATTTGTACTCCGTATACTTACCTTGTGCGGTGATACAGAGGCCTTTTCCTTTGTAACATTCAATGTTGGCTCTCCCACCACCTGTTGCATTATTGGATAGAACTACAACGACTGAAAAACATAAAATTATAGAACATTTTGCCACGTGTATATAAATAAATTAAGGATAATCTTCTTTGGACAGGGAAGAAATTCTCCAAATATTTTTTGACTCCTTAATCGTAATTTACACAGGTACATGTATGTATGTTATTTATTTAGAAATTCTACCAGACTGCAGAAAAGGACATTCAATTATTGCGACAACTGAAACAATTCTTTACAGATACATTTGTATATGTATATCGTTCGAGACCGGGAATATTCACGAAAATGGTAGGATAACACCTGTTGCACAGGGTATGATAAAAAAAAGTATACTATTGTTGCCGTGCTCTTACGAAGACCCATTCCAAAAATGTATTCACACACGCTTCATTTCAAATGAATTTACTCGAACTAAAGTAAACACATTTTCCTATTCACCGGAGCCCTAGATATGAAAAAAAGGATACAACACCAGGGGAACTTGGTATAACCATACATTGTATAACATCGTGTTTGATATTAGAACAGAGCTGTGAACAAATATGAGGGATCTTGACCCAGGGGCGGATCCAGAGATATTTTCTGACAGTCTTCCAAATTATCTTTGTTGAGCCAACTTCCAATTTTTGACCGTCTTCCGACAGAAAAAAATAGATACCCGTCAATGTAAACTTGAAAATCTGACCGTCTTCCGGAAGACCCAGAAGACGGCCTAAATCCGCCCCTGTGACCTAATGAGTCCAGAAACACATTTGTGAAAATTGATACAGTATACAGTTTTTTCACCTTTTTATCTTTATTCGTATAAAAAGAGCAAAAACTTATGAGCAACAAGGCAATCCAAATACTTAAATCCACTCTGAGTTAACGATTCCAAATGTTAACCTACTTTAAAATTGTATTTCTTATAGCTCCTTATTTAGTCTTATGTAATTTTACCGATGTCATTTTTTAACTTGAATAACCAGCCTGTTAATGTGAACCCATAGATGTATTAACTGTAAGATCAGATTTATTGTAATTTTTGCCTGGAATGTTAGTAGACAAACCGATCAAGCACAACGGTGTGGCCTCGGACATAACTTTTTTGGAGACTTTCAAAAATGCTTTGAAGGAAAACTAGCACCTATTGAAAGGCATGTTACTTAACAGATCAGGACTTCTGTTAACGACGCCCTATTGAATTTGCTACGAATGGCGTTATGACATCGATAATATTATGCCTCGGCGCCTTTTCGTTGTGTATATCCCCAGCATAAACAAAGGTATCGAACCCATGTTTTGTTTCAATGGGATGCTGACAATGGTCAAACATTTTTAACAAAACTGGACTCGATGACCGGAGGCAAAAGTAAAATTAAAAGTACATCCCGCCCTTTTAAAATTAACTTGTCGCGTTCATCTGATCTTATCCGGTGTCACTTTGAGGTTTTACACTCTCTTTCAAAACTCAAAAAACGACTTCATCCTTTCTATTTTCTTACGTTGTATTTGTTGCAAAAAATGGAATATGTAGCAACCAGGCCTGTATATATTTTTACCTACTGATAGAATATTAGTAAAATGCATGGCTGTTATTATAAAGAGCTAGATCAGCTTCTTTCATAGCATATGTACCCGTAAAAGGTATAGCAACGCCCCTCCTGACAGTCAGCTGTACGAGGACCCCTACCTGGCTATATCAGTACTACCGACGCTGGATACTGCTCGCACAGGGACCAGAATACAGGAATTAACAAGTACAGGTGAATCTTACACCAAGTTTAAATCTTCTCCATAATTCAATCACCCTGAAATTTATCCCTCTGATATGGACATTCGATCACTATAATCCGCAGTTTTCTTTTGACCTGGGACGAAGACGCTTAAATTAAACCTGTTGAGGTTAGAGTTAGCTTTCGAGAAAACAAACTGAAGTTGTATGCTAAGAAAATTTAATTGATATTTATTTGCATGTTAAACATCTGATCCGCTGAATTGATTTAGCGGGCCGCTTATTCTGAAGATGTAGAGTTTTTAAAGAGCTATCTCTTGATGATTTTCTATCTTCTTCAAGGCATGGGCACTTTATAAATGTTACTACAGTATCCTCTATGCCTCACTGTGCTGAAAAATCCCTCTTTACAACCTATAATTTGGTCAATCTTCCGTGCTAAAGGTTTTGTTGAGTATGGCCGTGTCAGGTATCTATTACAATGGAGTCATTGAGAGAAAATACATGGCTATCATAAACATGACAGAATTTGAAACTTACGCATTCAACATAGGCACATAATATATGTTATAGTATAGTGGGAATAAGTCTACGGTCTTTTATATGCTATCCTAAGTTTTTATGTGCGATAGCAATTTCTGAAAAAATCACTCATTAATTCATTCATTCATTCGTCAACAAAAATAGTATCGTCCGATAAACGAATAGATTTCCCTTGAAGATGTCAACAGTTAAAGTTACTGTTATAAGGCAGGGACGTTCAAATGTTCATACTTTCTCCATGCACACATGTACTAGTACGGCAACAGCATGCCCCCGATATATAGTGATGTTATGAATGATTATAAGTGATGATACTACTAAGATCGAGGCCCTCATGTGGGGACAAGTATGTATGCGGGTGAATGTGTGAGTGATATTGGTATTAACGAGGGTAAATCATGCGGTGTTTTTAATATAATACATCAAATGTTTTTTATCTGTATTTAGGAAAATCAGTTGCTTATGTGTGGTCAATTTAATTATTTATTGACATAACAATATACTATCAGAGGCACGGTTATATTGCATGTAAGTATATAGAGTGATACTACTCTGCTAGTTAAGCTGTTGTATTACTATATTAATTGTTGGAGTATTCATGACTGTATGTTATGTTATCATGTCAATAAAAAAATCGTCGCCCTCGAGTAATCATTGTGCGGGTTTTTTTTCGATTATTATATTATCAATTCGTGGCTAATTGCTGCTGTTATCCTTTACAACTTTGCGACACAATAACGATTCATTGTATAGCTATCAAAACACTGTCGACAAAGAAAATCCCCTCCACACAATATATATCAGTGTAATACTTGAGTTTGGCAAATAGATCAATATTATATTTTAAAATAAGGAATGTTACAAATTACTGTCAATATACTATTTACGGAGTGCAAGGATGACAAAAAGACTTAAAGACTCACCTCCTTCAAGCAGTAACACCGCCAATACCAGAAAGGGTGTGGCCCCGTTGCGACCGGCCATTTTTAAAGAGACGATGCCGCCTGATTTGCGTGTCTTAAGGTAAACAGATATAGCTGTCGTAGTCTGCGTGTTCCTGCCAACAGCTTAAATCAAAATAGAACGCAGGTATTTTTAAAGGATACCTTTGTTTGAAAAACTTGATATTGCGTGTTCAGTGAATAAAACCTACGAGGCGTATATTACGTAATGACCCCATTTTGTGAATAAACTATGCATTAAACTGACATTTGATATTATGCCACGATAGAGTCAAACATAAACTGTCAATTTTTAAAAAAAGCACACATTTTTGCTTTCATAAAAATACAAGTGACCCGTACGCTAACACCCGTAAGATCACTCTTTCCCAATACCATTAAACACCACCCTGAGCAGAGTTCTAAATCAAATACTTAACTGTCAAGTTTATTATTATGAGTATTCACTAATAAATTCCACTATGAAAAGATACTATTAAATAACTGAAGTGTATATACAGTCTTACCGTGCTCTATCCGATTATAAATGCGGTCCTCGGGTTGACGCCCTTTCGATGCGGCCTTAGCTTTGGGACGCTCTAAGAGAGAGTGGGTTAAGACAGCCTCCCCTTTTCCATGCACAAACAAACAGGGCCAATACGATAACAAAACACGCGTATGCATGCCATTGCGTGGACTTATTTCTTACTTTCTCAAGGGGTCCCATTGTTATGTGATCACTGAGTCGATCCGTATGATTGCATTGTAGATTTAAAGGTAAAGGTTTCGATGCTTTGTAAGCTGAACTCTTACGCGATGAACAGTGACCAGGGCAACTTTGTCAAAGAGCAGGATCAGCGTTGAGCAAGAAGACATGCACAGTGCTGAATGGTATCTTCATATGTTTAAAAGGGGCACAAAGGCACCGACTTTCGGAATACTACTAAGCCATTCCCTGAAGTCACCCAAGAGTGAATAATAAAACATTTAATTAACTTTATAATTTTGCTTCTGTCTAACAAAGTACTGCTAGCCTCGACGCACTGATATCAAATTCAATTAGTACGATTGATGTAGAACGCTTAATTGGTAGGATTCATTTGCACAAGAATGAATCCAATTAAAT